CTAAAATAAAAATTATATTTAGCTTGTGCCAATATCATATTAGTGAATAAAATGTTTATCCATCTATCAAATTAGCAGCTTGTAAGCAGAGATAGTCGATAAGCTTTTCGGTGAAGGAAAATATCGTGATGAAACCACGCACGTCGAAGAAGGTTCACTTCCCTCGGAAATCGGGTGAAGTCCCCAACCCGCATTGGGCCAGGGTGGCGGACTATAGCCTTAAACCCTCGCCAGAGAGGAAACCCGTGCCCAGCAGTGGGACGTATAAATGGGTTGATGAAGCAGAGTTAGCACGAAACTTACTACAATTGTACTCGCAACTTAAACAGCAGTCTTACGTTGTGGGTGCGATGGTAATTTAATTCGAAACCACCAACAGAGGTGCGGAGCAAGCTTCATTTATTAAGTGGCGTGCACCGACCGCTGCAAATTTAACTGCCCGTATTCACCGCTCACTGAAACTTGCTGGCCAAATTGAATATTTAATTGTATACCGATACTTCGATGTCATAAATTTAAAAATCGCTATTGTTGGTTTATATTTCCAATAAGTTTGTTGTTTGTTCAATAAGTCTTCAAAAATGTGCAATTCCTATTTTACCTGTGCTAGTTGAATCGAAAATACCTACATACATCTAAGTTTTTTTTTAATACATTCAAATTTACAGTTTAAAAAAGTTTGTATAGTGTAACGTCTCACTAAATGTGGCTTGTCTGAAAGACTTGTCTTATGAAAAAAAGAGCAAGAAACATTTTTTTCGTCTCTTAAGCTAAAAAAATGGTCGGCTCAAAGCACGAGGTCTCATGCGAGTGATTCCGCAGAGTAAACAAATATTTGAAAATAAATAAGGCTTTGTGGCCTCACAATATTCTCCTAAAACGACGCGACAGCGTCAAGAGCTGATTTATATGCCACCATTACTTTTTGTCTAAGCGACACAGACATATGCTCTTTGAAAGTGGTATGTTTGAAACTACTTCGTATGGACTAAGGCTAGGGTGTACTTCTATATTTTAAAAACATATGTCAACCTAGTTTTAACCATACGCTAATTTAAAATGATACGTTATTATTTTTTTAATTTAATAATAAAATAACGCAACTTCTTTACCTACCTATCTATCTCACTCAAGGAAATGTGGATGGGAAATAAACGTATGTTTTATTATACACGTAACGATATGTCGAACTAACCTTTTCGCCATATTTATGAAAACGCAACTACTTAATTTATAGCTCACATCCACGGATGACGTAGCCGATATCTAATCGAACTGCGGGATGAACATTACTGGCGGCGACGCCGAGCAAGTTTCCTTCCCCGTCGTCGCATAAAGGCATAACTAGGGTGACTGGGCGCATATCTCTTATAGGTACGCTTATACAGTGTTAGGCAAGTTTCATCAACTTCCTAATAACTTCTAAATGAATCCATGTGCTTACAGTTTCTGGAAAGGAAGTTGTGTAGATTTCTGTACTTATCTAACAACCTTAACGGTTATATCGTAGAATTTATATAAAATCCAAAAGTCACTATGGCGAAATTGTGTTTTTTTGTAATATTAAGTGACGGGACGAACAAGTCGTGCGTCTGATGGTAAGCTCCACGCCGGTCCATAACAGTTGCAGTGCCACTCAAAGCTTTAAATCGCAAAGATCTGAGGGGCACTGGCACTGCGCCCGTTACCCTGAGACGTAAGTTAACAAGTCCCTTGTGCCTGTAAGTGTGAGGCCAGACGAGCGTAATTTTGTGAGTTGTGAGTCGCAAAGTTTACGCTGCATTCGATTTCATATAAAAGTACGGTTTGTTTCACACGACGACGCAAAATGAGTTACCTGCCTACTCACGGGCGTAATGACGACTGACTTTCGGTCGCATCGTGTGACGGGCTGGCGCGAGTGGAGGTTGGGGTGAGGGAAGGGGTCACTTGCTATAAACGCTTAAAAGCAAGGAATAAAATACATTCGTCTGGCGCTCCAACCGAATTTTGGTCGAGCGCAAACTGCGCAACTCAAAAAACGCAACTCACAAAATTACGCTCATCTGGCCTCACCCTAATTTCACCAGCACCCATACCCTTCAAAACCGGAACGCAGTAATGCTGACATTACTGCTTGGCGGCAGAAATAAGTAAGGTGGCAGTACTATCATGGACGAACTCTTTCACAATGAGCTCTACTGCTACTAATATTATTGAATCCTTTATTGGCTTTTTGGGTCTTAATTGATTAAGCTGGCAATCCTAATACAAATTTTCATAACAACTACAGCAACCTGGGTTCCGTGAAATAAGCGAATTAGCAACTAGGTATATATTCAGGGGCTAAATATCTGGGGACATAAGTCCACACAAGCACAAGCCTCTGGTAAATTATCAGGTCGTTTAAGCAAGAACCGGTGGAGCAATTTCATGGTCCAACGGACACGGTCCCAATGCACTAACTGCACTCCCCATTTGCGAATTAAAGCAGATGTAACTTTTTATAGCAGATAAATAGTTTACATAATTATTTTCAAGTCAATCCGATATTTTGTCACAATGTATAAGTTTTTTTTATTTGTGTAGCGTACTGTATCAATGAGTTCGGGTCTGTGCTAACAAAAAGTGAGCAAGACAAAAGTAAATGTATTTAAATTTTATTAATTTACTACAAAAAAACGTACAGCTATCAATCCAAACAGAAAACAATAGTAAAGAAAAGGCGCCAAAAACAATCACATTTAAATTTAGCATTAGCGACTGTTGCGATTCGCTACTATTTGTTTTACTTATAATAACATTAAACATAATTTTACTTTATACTCATAAACCTAGAGAGATTTTTCTAATTATTGCAACTCCTATGAATAGTAATTTATGTACCAGAACAAAGTATCGTTATGGTAGGTACAATAATGCTTATCCAAATAAATAAAATATATATATATACGTTGAATACGTAATTTACTTACGCGTTGGAAAATTGTCGTTTTAGTTGCAAAACATTGCCTTTCCGAACATAATACTTACTTTTAAAGGATTAAAAGTTAATAAATGTTTACAAACCGTATCGATTAAATATCATTGCTATCATGCTATCAGTAGATTACAAAAATATTACAACAATGAAATCGATATTTAAGAGGCAATAAAACCAAAATTGAATCGACTTTATGTGTAACCCTGATGGAAAAGGGATTATGTAATCAATTAATGGCTATTGGATAGGATACCTAACATGACATTGACATTGTAATTTCATTCCTTCGCCTTTACATAATACTACTGTATGTTTGAATTATTTTTGATTAATTAAAATGACTGTCCGTTATGCTTATTAAAAGTAACGCATGTGTAGGTGCATGTGTATTATTTACTTCACGAGAGTGTGCTAGTTTTTGGAAAATATTATTTAAAATAGACACTTAATTCAAAAAAATGTAAAAAATGTAAGTTTTGTTTACCATTTACTTATATTATCGTATAAATGGGAATTTACACTGTTAGCGCGTTTACGCACCGCATGGGATTCGTATTCGTTCCGAATCCAAGACACAAATATACAAAACTAGAAAACTCGGACCCACTTCAGATGTCGCCTGTGCATTAAGTCCGATTCGAATTTCCGACCGATTCGAGAAAATACGAATATCGCTTGTACTCCTACAGATAAAATGATCACTGGGACATTTCTGACCTAGTGCGCAAACGCTCTTACAAATGACCTCATAATAATATTTATTCGTTTTAAGTAACAGAGTACCTACACATCACATCTTAAAAAGTTAACCCTCTCTAAACCATAATGAGGAAAGGTATAATAAAACCTCGACAATAGTCCCCTGACATAGTCCAGAGACAAAACTTGTTGTCGAGTTTTGTGCTACGAAAATGGTGATCTCGGTGGCCCGTGCCTAAACAGCAACCAGATACCAACGGTCTTACAAATTCTCTTTAATTTGGTCCGTTTGTCAATGTGATAACGCTAGGTCAGAGGTCTTACTAAATTTGGCAGACTGTACCCTCCTACCTTTTGTCATGCTCTTCGCTTTGTCTACGAAAAAAGATCTGTTTTCCAGGACAAAGCGGAAAAATTTTACGATCGTTTTCAGGCCATTCGGTAGATTAATTTACGTTCAAATTTACTAAAGTTTTAACACAATATGGTACGTATTATTAAGATAGAATTTTCATGAAATAGCAGGTATGCTAGGTCTGAAACGCTCATGGGAATATAGTATATTAGGATGGAACAGAAATTAACCGTATTTGATTTATAAAGACAGTACTGAAGATATATCTATTATACCACAGCCATTTCCCCACGGTAGTAGATGTACGTACATAGGCTACTTAAAGTAACCGTTGCGAAACCTGTCGCATCAGCTGTGTTGTGCCCTTGTGTACGCATTTATCAAATCTATGTACACCCAGATGAACATACCGTGAGAAATGGGGTTAAACATCGTTGGGAGTTATTTCTGAAGAGGGTCATCAGGAAGATATAATGCTATTTCTGTACCCTTGATGTCTTTTTAAGTGCGGACCCACTTAACCCTAAAACGGGGTGGGGCCGCCGTTATTCGCTGTCGCCTCGGAAAAACTAATGGATTCAATGGAGTTTGCAAAAAAATATCCGGTCCCATACGAGATGGTTCATCAAGTAATTCCACCTTCAACTATATCTTAAACTTCTACAGTATCGATTATAAAAGAACAATCCAAAATGATAGTTTTCAAGATTTATTATTCTCTATTTGGCATTCAGTAAACCTGCTTTGAAAATATTTATTTCATTCCTATGACATTAGTTATTTAATTAATCAACGAAATAGCGTTTTCCGTTATTTGTGCATAAAGTTATCCCGCCAATTTACAACTTGAATATTACAAAAACCGGTAACTAAACTCAACGTCAAGTCCTCATCAAGGACAATAGTAACATCACTAGGCGGAAGTGCCTACTAGCCAATGTTGCCATGTTCGGTACGCGTCGGTTTTGATTTTGACAGTTCGCCGCGTCTCTAACAGCTGTTCGCCCTTTGCTCGCAGGATTTGAAATCAGTTGATTGCACGTGCTTATACTAATTAGAAAAGAAGAAGATAATTGTTGAGACTGTTGCAGAAACAATGGAAGAAGAGGGCAGCGTCAAAGGTAACAGTCTTTAAAGGTTATTTTAGTAGGATGGCGGCGGCATGGGACCACGCTGTTTTATCAATAACGCTACCTCGCGAGCCTAATGCTTCAACGTTGTCTTATCACTAGAATTTTCTACCGTATAAAACCGAAAGCATAATAAACTTGCTAATAAGTTTTTATAATAATACCCGACCCATGTGCTTCTGTGTGACAAAAACTATCATAAACGCTAAAATCTTCAAATGATTGTGATGTTATCACTTATTCAAAAGTTTCGTACAAAGTCAATTTGTACTTTCGTATTTATACACTTCATAAAACAAAGCAGCTAAACCATAGATAAATTATTTACTTATTCCATTAGAAGCTTTGACCTTGGAAGAATTTCATAATGTTCTGCAACAGTAAAAACTCAACGAAAACTTATAACGCTCAATGTATATTATTGTACTGTTATAATTATTCGAATATTTATTGGAATTATTTGTAAAATAGTAAAAATTTTAAAGTAACATAGGTATATAATACCCCTACATCTTACCTTTTTTATATGCATATTTTCAGCACCAGTGACGAGATTACGACGCCGGCTCTCCGTAGATCAATTAGACGATACCAAATCACCTTCTGCACCTTCCACCCCCACCAAGAAAAGGGGTCGGCTGGCTGCTAAGCCACAACTGGAATTGATTGATGAAAATGGTAAATTAAAAGCATGTCCAAACAATATCATGTTGTAATTCAGGAATCTTATATACTTTTATTAAACAAGGGAAATATTGTTTCTTAATTATCATTTAATTTAATTCTGATAGATCTTGTGATAAAATTTTAATGTTGAAAATTTAACGTACTTATTAGAACTTTAACTCCATAAACATAAATATGTTTTTGTATAGGAAAAGCGGAACAGGGTTAATAGTTCTACTCAATTCAACATAATATTTGACTATAAATTATAGTTAGCTATTCATTGGTGTTTTGTAAAAAGGGCGAAAGTGCTATTTCGAAAAATTTTTCAGGGCAGTATGGTATATTTTAGGTTTTAACAACTGTTTGAAAATATTTACACCCTGATTTAAAATGTAATTTTGGTTTTAATTAAGTTTAAGTTTTAAAATTGTGTTTAAAACAGGATGTAAATGTTATAAAACAGTTGTGAAAAATTAAAAAACCCTAAAAAATTTTTTCAAAATGGCGCTTTCACCCTTTCTACAAAACACTGACTATGCGCTACAAATTTCAATCTAATTTGCATAAAAGGTAAGGAAATAGGTCATTGACCTGATCATAGATACTTTAATGATGGTCAATTGTAGTGCCAATTAGAAATCAATTCTTTAATCAAATGATTGAGTTTGTTACATGGAATCAACTTCTTTTATTCAACATCCATGGTTACTAACAAAATATATTATGTGATTCGATACTGAGTGGAGATATTTTCACAGCATTAGAAAATTATAATATGTATAAGTTACAATGAACTCTGCACATTTGACTGACAAGAAGTTAAGTGGCAGAAAGTGGAAAACATTTTTAGAAAATCATGGATTATGGAAGGATGAGTTCATTTTTTAAAAGTTAATATCAGTTGTTAAAGTCAGTAAAATATGAAAGTTAAATGCAGTTCTTCCTCTCAGTTGATGTTAGTTATATTGTTACAAGCATACTACATCAAAATGATAATATTTTATTTATGATGTCATAGTAGTGATTCTCAAAGTCGTAGCTAAAGGTTTTGTTGTCATTCCTGGGTCATGTCGTAAACACAAACCAAATCACTATAAAAACCAAAGTCAAGCCAAATAGTTGGCAAAAGCACGAAAAGAATCAGATCACCAGAACACAAAAGAATGTGACCTATGTTCGGTCAACAGATAAACAAAATGGCAGATTTAGGCTGCTAACAGATTGACTCCATGTTTGCAGTAAATGCGTGAAGTCGTAATCAACTTCATGCAGCCTAGAGCACGACTGCATGAAGTTGATAATGACTTCACTCATTAACTGCAAACATGCAGTCAAGCTGTTAGCAGCCTAGGCGGTTGGGGGTAATTTATAAACAAAAAATTGGAATTGTAAGCATTGTGTTAGAAATAGTAAAATATGTGAGAAAATCGTATAAGTTCAATTTATTAAGTTGCTACATCAGTTATGAGCAAATCTATATTGAGTATTTACATTGGCTCTTGCAGCAATTTGTGAGAAGTGTTAGACTTGGGGTATCAGTGGTGAGTGAGACACTTGTTATTTGAATTGAAACACTGTTATTAAGTTTGGTTGTGTTATTATTATTATTATTAGGTGGCTTCATTCAGGGCATATGTAGCCCCTCATCACTGCGACCATCAGTTGATCTATTATGATCACCACTAATTACAATTTGCAGCCAAGGCCAACAGCATTGAAGAACTGAAGGACTTTCCTAGCTCTGACAGATTTAATATCCTCTGGTTGTGGTATGTGCCTTCCCAGTATGGAGCTTACGCCCATCAGTGTTATATATATAATAATATATATAACATTACAATGATAACAAGAAAATATACATAATTTCAATAAAAAAGAAAATATCCATAATATTAACCTTAGAGCTAAGTCCAAACTTATGGTACCACGATTTCGTTTATCCAAGGTAAACAACTCTTTTATGGGGAACTGTATACGTTTTTACGATAAGATTCCGGAGCGTATATTAAGTTTATCATTTCCTAAGTTTAAAAACTTAGGAAAGGAATTTTTTTTTATCTAAAAGTCATATTACAAAATTGAAGACTACGTGTTGATAAAGATGTGTGGAAAGACGACATGGCTCCAGAATCCACACAAATTTGATTCAAAGTGTATTCCATAGCATTTAAGTTTATTTTGAAAATAGCAATCCCTAGACTTTCTTGCTTGTTCTTCTCAGGGAGGGCAGAGTAGTGAACGAGCAGTAGCTTAAATGTGACGTTTTCAAGTGTAAATTTATTTTACCTATAGAATAAATGATCTTTGACTTTGATATTGGGTGAGAAGATGAGCAGGAGTTTTATTTGCCTCGTGGCAGAATCTACACTCTCTATTCTCTCTCTGTCCAATATTTGACATGTACTTGTTCAAAGCACAATGTCCTGTTAAGACTCTAGTGAGCATTCTGATGCCATTCCTGTCGAATGACAGAGCTTCTCTACAGTGTTTGACACTGTAGGTAGCTATCAGGGCCTTTGAATGCTCAAGACCCTTACTCTGTAGTCACACTTCTCGGGAGACGTGTGTGCTCTCGTTCAGCAGAGTGAGCTTTGCAAGGCTGTATGCTATCCCTATAAAGGGTACGGGTCCAATGAAGATTACCCCTAACACCAACCTTTGCCAATTCGTCTGCTGCCTCATTTTCCTCGACGCACGTCAGAGTGACCTGGAACCCAGCGCAGGATCACTTTATACCTTTCCCTGAGAGCATTCAATATAGTCACACAGTTCTCTACAATCCTCGATATTTGGGTGAAAGAGGTTAGTGTATGTAGAGTGGCTTGACTATCTGAGTTTATGTAAATATACTTGTTTACATGGCCTCTCTTCAGGTTCAAATCAGCACAAGCAATTATGGCGTATATTTCGGTCTGAAAGATAGAAGAGTGTCGTCCCAAATTCAGCTTATAGCTGAGACTGGGTCTCACGCCGTGTATACCACAGCCTACGTTGGGTCCCATCTTAGACCCATCGGTATACAAAGAAGGCTACCATCCTTCCAGGTAAGACTGTTGATTTTCCAGTCTTCCCTGGTTTGAAATTCTACTTGGTAGAGATTTTTAAAGTTTTGCTTGGGAAGCATGACATCAGAAGTCATTCCCAGAACAGGATGTTCCAGAATTGAGTCCTGGGTTGATCTCAATGTCTGGGAGAGCCATCTGGTCGTTAACTTGGTGGTGAGCCTGTACGTGCTCGTACCGGCCTCCTTCTGTATGAATATATGCAGGGGAGTCAGATTCAGCAATGCATTTAGGGCCGTCCCCGGAGTAGTGGACATGGCTCCCGCTACTAGCAAACACGCGATGCGCTGTAGACTGCTCAATGTGGCAATAATGGTTGTTTGGCTGACTTTAGCACTCCAAACAGCAGAGACATATGTCACTATGGGCAATAGTCTTCACTATTGCCTTGTATAACCAGAGAGTTTGGTTGTAAAAAGTGTGATGATATCTTATTAATAGACATTTTTCTTAAATGACTTATAAAAGTAAATCTAATATGTATGAACTCATAATCTTTAAATCCTCCTAGGGATCCATATACATTTTGGTTTTAAGTGGCTAGCCGAGGTCTAAAACAAATGAACAGAACGATTTTTTTCGTCCAGACTTTGTAACCATAAATTATTCATATTTCTACATTTGTCATGTCAGTCATGAAATATCAGGTTAAATCCTGGAAAATATACATACATGAAAATGTTACTAATTTTAACCAAACCAGTTTGTTTTCTTTGTATGCAAAATGGATTGAAACAAACTGCAGATGGGTTAGTGTGTTAATGCAAGATACTCCTATTAAATATAAACAATAAAACTTTTGTTATACATAAGTTCCACAGAACAGTCCCAGAAGGACAACAAGAAAATCTATGGCCCGAGATGTTGTCGACGAAGAAAAGCCCCTCACACCAGGACGCCGCAGTACCAGAGTTAAATCCAACACCAGTACTGTGTCAGAGACTCCCCAGGACGATGAAAGGTCTCAAACTCCATCCAGGCGGTCTACAAGAATTAAGTCGAATACCAGTATTATCTCAGAAACTATAAATGTTGACTCGCCTCGTGCTATAAGAGCTGCTGCCAGGAGAAACTCCCAACTTGGTAAATAAAAAAATTTATGGAATTTGTATTTTTTTTTATTAACATTTCATCATGTTGTGCTAGTTTCATATGTTAAATATGAATTAAATAGTTTTATTTATTATGGTAAAAATTTCAGGTAGTGAGACAGAAACTACGCTGACTCCTACTAGACCCAGACGTAACAGAAAGGACTCTACATCCAGTATTGATAAACAAGGTGACAACAAACTTTGAAAACTATTAGTGGTTTTTACTCCAAACATCTGTATTGTTGTATTATTAGTTATTAAAATAGTAAAATGTATTTTTATTAATAGACACTTCTACTGTCTACTTTACAGAAAGTGCAGTAACACCTTTGAGGACAAGGCAAACTAGAAAAGAATCTTTGACCACGGACAAAGAAGGTATTTTTTTCATATTTTTCTGTGTAAATCAAATAAAATATATATAATTTCTTGACACACATTGACTGTAAATTATGTTTCTTTTTACACAATTTTTTCTGTAATTTCCAGTGGACGCCGTACCTAGTAAATCCACATCACTTATTACTTTTGTTATATCAGAAGTGCCAGAAACCAACACAGAACAATCTACCTCGAAAGCCAGTCTTGACAATATTAATAGAGAAACTTCCTCCCAAACTAACCTTCGTAAAAGTCCCAGGTTAAAGGCTAAAAGCAACAGAAGCCAATCCGAAAGGGATGATAGCAATGATAGGAAACCAGAAAACCATGAAAATATTCAGGAAGTAAATCAAGACACGGATTCAGAAACTCAAGCTCTGTTTGGAGTATCTGATGGAAAAGTTATGCTATCTCAATTGAGCAATAATTTCATTATACAATTGGAGTCTGATTCAAAGAGAAATGACTTATCCCATTTGAACAAAAGCACTTCAGTAATTAAAGATACCGATAATTCTAAAACCAAAAGACATAGGACAAAATCGTGGACAACTTTATCTGCAAGTCCTTCTAGTGACAGCAATTTCCACAGTGACAATGAAAGCGCTAAGAATAAATTTAAAAAGCATGAGAAGAAATTTTGTCAATTTCCTGTTGGCTCTGGAGATAGTGTGCATAATAAATCTAATACAGAAGAGATCCGACCAGATAATAATGACATACGTTTTATTAATACATTATCAAAACAGACAAAAATACTTGACAAGGAAGCTGATACTGGTAATAAGCAAATTATAGAAGATTCTGTTACTCCTGATAATTCTATAAAACAAAACGAATCCTTATGTGATAAATCTAAACCAACTGACTCTATTAACGAAGGTGATAAAGAAAAGGTCCTTGATGCAAACACTGACAGTAAGAACTCGAGTGCTACTGAAATTTTATTTGATAAATCCCCTGGAGAAATAAAAGCTCTGGTATTTATTGAAGATTCAGATTCGAATTCGGAAAGCAACGAGAAAAAAGCGAAAGAACCAATACTAGAAGGAGACGACCAATGCGTACCAGTTGTATATCGCGCAGCTTGTCACGAAAGTGAAAGTCGAAGTTGTGAAATAATATCACAAGTGAATATCCAAGAATTTGGAACATTGAATAACCCTCAAGAGAACACTAGGGTTGATGATAGTTGTGAACCTATGGAAGTTGATGTTACGATACCCGAAAATGTGTCAATAATTGACTCTAAAAAAACCATTGAACAACAACTGTGTAATGAAACATCTGTCAAAGAAACTGAAGAGTTTACTACTGCTAACACAAGTCTTGATAAATCTAAGCGGAAATCCTCATCACAGTTTTTCACCCAAGACCTTGAAAAATCTTCAAACGAAAACAAAAGCACCCTTATTTTATCACAAATTAAAGATGTTTCGAATACTAACATAAATGCATCAAAGTCTCCTAAAGTTTTAAATGATTTATCTGCAACAGACATAACTAAACAAGAAGTCGTAAGCAAAAACCTATCTGTTAACTATTTAACCAGTACACCTGTGCAACAAAGAGATAATAAAAAACCTGAGTTAGAAATGAACACCTCTGTAATAACCCCACGCAATGAAAGCAAAAAAGAAATTAAAACAAGTAAAGAACGCTCAGAAGTAGTTGTATCTTTAGCTTCTGAAAGCTCCGAAAATGATACATCAGACGAGGATTCGGAACACGAAATAAATGAAAAATCGAAAGATAAGTATGAGTTTTTGGACAGCGAAGCTGAAAACGCAGGCGATAACTATGAATCAGGAGACAGCCAGGACGAGGATGAAATACAATATGAAAAAGATAACGAAATATTAGAAAAGGGTGAAACTCTTACTTCTGAAGAAGATCTATCTACCGACTCTGACTACGAAAAAGATTCATTTATTGTAAGTTCTGCCGAAGAAGACAATGAACTGCTGAGTGGATCTGGTGATGACTTAGACATGAGTGATAATGAGCTAAGAATGAGCACGAAGTCTAAAAAGAAGTACGATGAGCGTAAGAAGAAAGAGCAGAAAAAGGCATCCAGAGAAATGTATGAATCACGTCACAAACTTGATAAATCTGGAGAGACTAATTCCGAAATGTCAAAACTAAAAAAAAGTAATCGTTTACGCTTATATTCTACTTTATTGGAATCTGGTGAAGATAATAACATGCCCCCAAAGAAAAATAAACGTATGAGGTTGGAATCTACTTTTGAAACTAGTGACGCGATATCTGATGCAGAAGTGCCAACTAAAAATAGTGAAAGCGTCGTAGAGACGGACAACGAAGAAATTGGATATAAAAAAAAGAAGACTAAACGCTTATCAGAATCGGTATGCAACGTAAGTGTTGTCAATGAAAAAGAAATTACCATCAGTGAAAATGCTACAGAAGAAACGGACCCTTTGTTGATGAAAGTGAAACCAGAACCGAAAACACCTCGTAAAGAACTTGATATATCGACTGTTCACTTTACTTGCACAGAAGAAATAGAAGAAGTTCAAGTAGATGAAAATATATCTGTAATAAAACCTAACGAAACTATGGATCCTTTACATGGTACGACGGCACAAGAAAATAGCAACAGGGACAATGACTCCTCAATGAGTGAGAATGAGGAAATTACTAAAAATTACAATTCTGTTCTAAACCAGTTAAACAAAGGAAACAAACACAAACAAGTAAAATCTGGCGACACGTCTTTGAACCTAGATAAAAAACAGAAAAAGTCTAAAGAGCCTGTAATTGAGGAATTAAATCTTACTATAGCCAAAAAGAAAAAAAGAAAAGATGAATCTGACAAACCAAATGAAAAAACTGTTAAGCGAGTTTTTAAGAAACTGTCGGTAAACGACAATTCGGAGGACTCCATGAATTTGAATCTGTTGTTTTCTGATGAAAGCAATGATATCGGAAAAAGTGGTGATAGCGGGAATCAAACAGGTAGTGTTGATAGCTTTATACCACTGAAAAGGACTGAAGCAAAGACTGATATTAGGTCAAGTATAGGTAAGCTCCATTCAATTACTTAACATGTTACATAGTTAATTAAATATTGTTGCCAATATTAACATTTACTTTTTTTTAAATTACAGTTGTTGCTGAAAATTCTCAAAACGAAAGCGTGAATACAAAACCTAAAAAGAAAAACAAAAGAAATTCGAAACAAACTGAACAAATAGTGAAAGGTATTATAACAATGTAAAATACTTTTATATTTACCTAACAACAGATATAACCGGCACGCATTGCAATGCTGATTGACAATGTGCGAAGTCCCCAACCCACATTGGGCCTTTTTATCGCAATAGGGTGAATAATATTATGAACTGAAGCCTCATCTTGAGTATCGACGACGAAAACCGTACCCATTATAATTAATTTTCCTAAACTTAAATGTAAAATTTCATACTTTTCCTTTAATTTAAGACACTATGTTTATTACTTAAAAGGAATCCAGATGAGACAAGCAACTTTTCAAAAATCTTTGAAGGCAGTATTACTTATTTTATAAGCAAACTATCCCGTGTACAATATTTAAAGTACTTTCCCTCCTCCATATAAAATAGCCGTGAGGCAACCAAAATGTATGTATGTTTCTTTGTCCCATATGTATTTCATTATTATTCATCCGATTGCGATTAAACTTTCTTGAATTGTTGTGCACACAGCCGCAAGAGTTTCTGAATTGTTGTATCCCACTCCTGGGCACGGGTCACCTCTACGGTTCAGGCCATATTATCATTAAAGTTTTGCAAGTGTGGACATAACATCGATCTGATATTCATCAGATCACAATAGATGCCCCATACGATTCAATAATCTATGGAGCATCTATTAATTTCTGTAATAGTATTACGCAAATTTATTCTTCTATTTTATCTTATCTTACTTTTTGATAATAATAAATACGTAAAAGTATTTGTTTTTTGTAGTAGCTATCACAACGTTTAACAAAGTCACTAATAAAAACTTTTAGTGTAATACGCTTGTCAATCGTTTTTACACAAATTTTACTACAAAGATTTTTGAAATTGCTGTGTCAATTTATTGTCACAAAAAAATTGTTTTCTCACATTTTTTTGAAAAGTTAAAATTTAATTTACGACGTGAAACACAGGTTAAATTAGTGCCACAGTTTTCGTCATTCATTTTTTTTAATTAAATCCATCAGGTGCAGAATTATTGAATTATAAGAGTTATTTGTGAAAGCGAAGTGAAAAACGTCAGTCTTGCAACTTGTGACGCTTAAACGTTCAAGTGTGAACTCGTTTATAATTACCTTATACTATCCTCTAAGACCTTTAATAGGTCCTTCCGTCCTTTTAAAGGATATATATGTCTTAATTTTCACTACCTAATTTCGGTGGCGATGTTTATTATCTAAATTCTAGAATATTATCATGAAGTATTACTTAATATTCGAGTAGTATCTTAGTATCCTGAAATATTATTTAATATTTCATGATAACTTACTCGAATACTTAAGTAATAAAAATTGCCTCCAAAATTAGGTAGAGAAAACTAACCTGAAATTAACTCTAAAATAGGTTTCTCACAGATGGCGCTTCGGCAAAAAAGCCGTTAAAATCAAAAAACAAAGAGCGGCAACAAGCAAATAGGGAAATTAGTGAGGTCTACTGACACCTCAGTTGGGAGAGTGGTTAGCCCCAGTCTGACAAATAGGTGCTGGTCCGAATCTAGCCGAATCGACGAAATTTTTCTTAGAGTCCATATCAATTTACCAATAATATCATACAATTGATTTTTACTTCTCGAATAAATCGGTTAACAGCTGATGCATGTTTGCATCATAAATAAAACAAATTTTTCACATTGTATGCCTATTGCAAAATAACTCTGTAACATAATTAATTCGAACATTAGATTGTATTTTAATTTTAGAGCACAACAGTAATGATGGCGAAGAAATAAAGTTCTTCATAGACACAACAGGCACTCGATTTGATATTGATAAATCATTTAAAGAATCCTTGAACACAAGTGAAAAAAAGAAAAATAAGAACATAACAATCAAAGATGGTAAATTAATTTTCTTTTACTTTGTAACTTGTCATAGTTGTCGTTTTGTGGAATGAGTTGTTTTTTTTAATGGGACAGTATGGGAAAATCCGAAACCATGGAATACAAGGAAACTGACTTAGAAACCATTAGGTCTTGTTTTGTGAAAAAATTTTGGTATAGTCAATTTTGATCATGCGTGCTTGTCCATAAAAATGAATAAAATTGATCAAAATTTTTTTTAGTGCTAATCGACTCAATTTCATGAAAGTATCATTTCATTATACGGGACTAAAAGAACCGGGACAACCGAAATTGGTCAAATTTTATTTAAAATATTTCGTACAAAATGAATTGAATTGACTAATTTTTTTGTAACAGTGCCTAGAAATGTAAAGTGCATTATTATTATTGACAACATACATTTACATGTAACCGGTTTTTTCAGGTGGAAAAGATGATTCTGACTCTAATGAAGCTCCAGTGGAAATATCTTTTAAAAGTGCGAAAGTCAAAAATAAAGCTAAAAGGTTTTCTGAGATTCTCGAAGAAGACGAAAACCTTCTTACTCGTTTGTTACAAACGCCTGGAAGTGAGAAGAAAAAGAAGAATAAATTGACTGAATCAGAGAAATTAGAAACTTTAGGTATGTGTATTGTGTATACAAATAATTTGTTTTATTACACGGTTTTAAAATTTGAGAATAGTTTAAGTCATTCTTTGTTATTGGTGTCGTTCAAATTTCAGGTCAACTGTACGAAGATGAGTCCGTAGATATGGCAAGTGAGGAAAATACTGACATGTCACTTAGCATAACACCTGGCAGTGAAAAGAAAAAGAAAAAAATGTCCAAGTCACATCATCGGGATCACGATTCACCTAGTAAGACAGTCATCACATCAATTTAAGTTGTCATCTGATCATTGTGAAATTCTTACATATCGTTGCTTTTTAAGGACAGGCCCTAATGAAAATAGTTATTTTTTATTTTATTACACACTTAGAGAGCTTACGTTAAAATAGTCAGACATCATTATCATCATCAATAAAATAAAATAAATCATTGGACCGGTTCATTATTTGAGGACTTTTCGCGCCAGATACGCCTCAGTTTTAATTAAACATGTTTTATAAGCCGCTGTACTAGAAAGCCACCAATGTGTAGTACATTACATTAACCATTAATATAACTGCATTATTAAACAAACTTTCAGTACAAGAACAAGACAATATCGTCGAGACACAGGCTAACGCTTCGCTGAGTAAAACTCCTCGTAGTGAAAAGAAGAAGAATAGGCTATCTGAGTCAGAAACAGGTGCACAAAACAAATTATTACAAAAGATATTTACCAACATACTTTACTGTAGTACAATTAATCTTCATGTTAAAAATGTGAGGGTAATTAGAACGTACACAATGGAATAACTTTTACAGGTGACAACATGTTGACTGTAAAAACTCCCAACATTTCCGATAATGCAAAGAAGAAGAAGAACTTTTCTATAACCCGAGAAAATGCCCAGGACAATGATGGAACATTTAAAACAGGTACAATTATTTGTGGTACTACTTTTTTCCCTACTGTTTACACAGTTAGGCTCAATTTACATTGCCGCAAAACAGAATGGAAGCAATTTTTGTAAGAAAAAATTGTACATAGAAATGAGTCATTGCGAGTGTCAATGTTTTTTAACATACAACTTGAACACTCCGGTATCTGTAATTTTTGACACCTCTCGTTTGTTGACATTCTTTTACATACATAAAAGTACAAAGTATAGAACGAGCCAAAAAATCAGTTGCGCGTCATTCGGAGAATTTACGTATAGTATCGGGAATTCCCGCAGCTACCGAATCGTATATATTTTGTAGGTTATACAATTTGCATAAGGTTCGTTATGCTATGGTTATAAAAATTCATACCGTTCCTCGGCGATGTAAATTGAGCCTTATTCAATTACAGTTTTTACACGAATTCATTTTTGGTTCAATTATGTTTTGAGTTTCTTAGTTATTTTTTTCTACTTCTGTATGTCAATTATAATTTCGTAAACCATTATCATAAAGGCCATATAAAGACGCTCTTTTTAGTTCTGAATCAAAATTGTAGTGTCTATGGTACTCGCCACTGAGCTGAAAATTTTCATTAAAGTTCTATACACAGAACTATAATAGTAAAAAATTAGATGTTCTTTTTTTGAAACTCACAAAAAAAGAACGTCTAATTTTTGCTAATTGAAATATCAACTAGACGACTCAAAACCTATTCTGCCTTCTGATTGTCTGATTGATTGATAAATTGGCCTAAAAGTCTTGCAACAGGGCCATATATCGTTATTAAAAAAATATTGGTTAAAATATTATTGGTACTTGGCCAGTTCTATTCTATCTCTTTGGTTTTTGTTTTGCAGCGTTTGTTTGGCTTTCGTCCAAATATATGAAGAGGCCTTATAGAAAGCGCTCGTAGAAAAAGTATTCTATGCAATCATTACATAATTAGGTCTTTAAATCTCGTACCTATTACTGTTTAGGTTTACACGGCCTGAACTCTGTACTCGACTTTAAGGCGATAATCACACTGTACCGCGCCCCGCGACGGAGCGCGGAGCTGCGTTTTTTAACATTGTACTAAAGTACCTCAGTTTGTATGGAAAACACGCGCCGTCGAACACATTGACAACGCCTCTTCGTTTTCCTTTGTTTGTGTGTGGTTTATTTACAGTATAACTGTACTCGTATACAGTAGAACTGCCTCTGTGGCCGAACGGTTACCAAGCCGGACTGCCACGCAGAGGTCCCAGGTTAGATTCCCGGGCCGGGAGAAATAGTTGTATGGCCTACAATTATTTCTCTTGTGAGTTTGGGTGTAATTTATGGTTGTATATGTGTGTGTCCATGGCACCCGCGACACAGGGTTTCCCTAGTGCGGGGCTATGTTGAATGTGTGCGTTATTTATTTATTTAGTATATGTCCAATCATTCTCTATCAAGAAAAAAATAATCCATCTGCAGGTACTTGCGGCTTTACGAGTAAAAAGGTGTCAAAATTTTAGATTTGTTATTTATTTTTTAACACAATATATTTTCTCACAATTCTTCACAATTATAGTTTCTACTTAACTTTCGTGTTATTGTTATAACACTCTAAATTACACTAAAATTAATTTTTCTTTAGTCGAAGCTCATATATCATATATATATTGTTAAAAAAGTACATAAAAGAGTTAGCAATTTTGCCGCACCTTTACTTACAAAGCCACAAGTACAAACTCTACATAGAAAATTATTGGAACTATACTATGTATGTAAGTAAGTAACCCATGCACATAATATTTTCGTATATTTTGAGATAAAAAATAAAATGTATGTTTCTCCATTCAAAAAAATAATAACTTTTTTTTTCTCCGAAACTATCAACTTTTCAAGAAATTATACAAAAGTTATTTAGGAGCGTTATTATCTATCATATAAAAAAAAATAAGCTCGATACTCCACAAGTTATTCCCATGTCCAAGAATTATCAATTTGGGCCCACTGTAGGGAGCGGCAAACCGCAGAGTATGGCGGAGTATGGCCACTACCGCGCAGATTTTTAAGCTTAAGGACATGTTCAGTTTTCTACATTAGATCTCGACGTCGATAAATTTATATTTACTATTGAAAATCGACCAAATTTATCTTCATATTTTCTTAAACCTTTGTGATGAAGTTGAAATTATCCATTTATCGATCTGGTTCGTAAAAAGGGATGTATCCAATATTTTCGGTGTCTTTTTATTTGAGTAAACAAAAACCAAATAGACAGTATAACTGCAGCGTCCTGAATGAGTTCTGTATTATTAACCATTCTTGTCAAAGAAGGTTCTTGGCTACATATACAATCACTACGGCGATCAACTGCGAAGCGATTACTTTACCGAAAATTAAACCGCGCGTTGACGCAGATCTGCGTCTCCTCCACCGCGCGCGTGGTTACACGTCCCGCGCTCCGTCGCGGGGCGCGGTGCAGTGTGATAATCACCTTAGAACCCTCATTATGCAACGATTGCATAAAATACTATTAACCAGTTTGTTTCTTTTTTAAGCTAATAGCTCTATAACAATACTAAATAATTGCTAATGCTAGTAACAGTAATTGAGCCTTACATTACCTTATTTGATGAATTTTGTTACAGTAAAAATTCAAGAAGAGTCTAAAGAAACTTCAAAGAAAAGAAAAAGACAATCACCAGGCAAGCAGACCAATGAAGAAGCAACTCTGGTGCCTGAAAGTAAGTAACTATATAATGGGGCTAACAACAAAACAAAACCTTACACTTTATGTATACTAATTTTGGTGTCTTACCTATACAGGGCGCGCAATGGTCAAAATCAAATCATGTTTAGATCTAGGAATGAAACTATTTTTCCGGATTTAAATCGCGTATATTTGACTGACAGTCAACCGTGACCATGGGACCTGTAAAGGGCCCGAAACGTCGGTTTGTTTGAAAAAACAAATATACGCGATTTAAATCCGGAAAAATAGTTTCATTCCTATGTATAACAATCGCGAAAACCTAAGAACTCGTTATGTTTAGATCTGATAATAAAATATGTAGCCCTAACATTGCGCCCACGTCTCTTTCTATCGCCAAAAACCGTTGAAGTACTCTGAAATAAATTTTGTGTTATGTTTAAAATAGCCGAAAGAAATGTGAGTTTAAACTGTTTATAGTTTGCATATAATTGTTATTTCAGACTCTAGTACTGCAGATGAGATTGTTGGAAATAAGAAGAAAAAGAGGAAAATTTCTGGTAATAACGAGGACAATAATATCGTGTCAGGTAACCGTTTCGTTCGAGCTTTTCCTTACATGTTGTGGTCTATATATATTGAACATGATCAGTGCATTTGTATCAATATTTGTTTACAGATACAAAGAGAAAGGAGCGCGATGACGATGATTGCATCAAGAAATCGAAGGTATTATTTATTACTTTTATCATTTGTAATTTTAATATAATGTTTGTTGTTGTTCTTATATTGCATTTTCTCCTTTTAGGTTGTAAAGCGGAACTCTTCCGACCAAATTCACGTCTCTCGGCTCCCTGTTGCCATCTTAAACCAACTAAATGACAAACCTAAAAAAGAATTCCTTGAAATGAAGAAATCTAAATTAGTATCGACCACTGATTTTGTTATTGAAGTAACAAAGAAACGGAAAAATAAGCCTTCTAACTTCTTGGAAGAAAGTGTGTATTTGAATACAGATGACGACATTGAGGAGAAAAAATTGAACGCAAGAGCAAAAAAACCTAAAGTGCTGCCATATCTGCCTACAGTCTGTACTTCATACAGTGGATTTACAACTAACTTCCAGGTGACTGTGCTGCCAAAAAAGTTCGAATTTGTTGCACAATCACATGAGACTACCAATTTTAAAACGGCTTATTTAGAAAACAAAAGAATGAAGAAGTTGCGAACATACGACCTCTACAAAAAACGAAGGAATGCCAAGTTGACCAAGTATTAAGACAAGATATTGAAACACCATACAACTATTCCACCTGTTTTTAAATTATCGTTCTTAAACCAACCTTGGTAACAGTTAAGTTGAAAAAAAAAGTTAGCAAACATTATTTTTAAATTAGTATATAAATGAGACTACTTAATATTATGATGCATGATTCAAATATATTTTTAATTGTTATTGTGAAGAGGACAAGCGAAAGTGACGCATTTTACGAATTATTTTAATCATGTAGAAACGAGTTTTAAGTTATTCCAAACACGTACATGTGTTTTGGCACTTTGATTGTGCATGTAGTTATTTGCGAACAACCGCTGTACGTTTGATAATTTATTCGTTTGATCCTTGTTTTGTAATTCGTGTTTATTTTCTTAGTGCTTGTCTTACGTAGGTAATTGCAAAGAAATTGTTAAAAGATTCTTGTTTCGTAGGCAATCGTTATTATTGAATATTTGTTAGTGTTATTTGTTAGTATGAATTGTTGAAGGGAATATTGTTAATCTTTTTACATTACAGGATCTTTTTTACTGTTTTAATTAAAAATGTTGTAAACGATTAACTCCTCCTTTCGAATATGCCGCCTTAAAATAAACGGTGTCACTAGATGGCGTTAGCGTTTTCGAAAAGTGGTATCGCCCATGTGCCTTGTGTTTTTATGTTTCATTATCAAGTTTGACTTTATTATGTATTAAATTCAATAAATAAGTTCTTTGAAATAAGATGATCATTTTTATATATTTACACTCGAGTATTATCGTGCACACAACGTAGCAGTACTTCCCGCCTTATCATGCCGGTGTAAACAAACCGCCATGTTGTCATGAATGGGCGAGCCGACCTATACGGTAAGTAAAGTCGTAAGTATTTCAATTTGTATTATTATAAAAAGAGAGACCTATGAATTAATTATATTTTTTTTTTCCAAGTTGAATTAACATTGATTTACTGTAAATTTTTAGAAATTATTTGATTGGTATATCAGTTGACTGATGACGTCAATCCTCTTATTAATTTGAACCAATGGAAAGAGATCTGTGAAGGTCACGTGGGCAACTTCATCCAATAGAAAAAAGAAACCATTCTTTGTGTACTTTTTCACGTAGTAGTAAAACGGATTGTGGTTTATATGGAGTGAGTAGTGTTTTATCTGTCAATCTTATGTCGTTGTTAACGTAAATGTGTGAAATTCAGGATTATTCCATTGAGCATAAGGATATTTATCTAAATAAATATTCGGTAAGTAAACTACGTGTTTATACACTTCTATTTTTGTCCATGTTTTGAAAACAAGAGGCGCGGACAATGGGAAAGTCCAACCGAATTGCATGTCCCGCTCTTTTTAATGTCAATCATTAATGTTTTATAATTTTAAAATGAAAATAAATTACTGTAATCATTTGGTTCAATTTCTGTGCAACACTCACCAGATCAGAGAATAATGATAAATTGTGGTAATTCGATGAAGTTGGCGGGAACCATGATACAATATTGAATTAAGTGTAATTCACCCGCTAACTACATTGAATTTGTGCTGTATACGCAGATTTTGACAAAATATCATTGATCTTGCTGAAAATTGATTATAACAATAAAATCGTGTAATTTTCCAAAACATGCGGCATAAAAATAACGGTCGAATATTTTGTTTCGCATCTCTTTCATGCACTGTCACTGGGACGTGCTCATGAAAGAGACAACATGAGAATTATTATTATTCAAAAAGCAAAATGGTACCTACCTATATCTATCTACCTTGTACGTGTAATCCAAATCATACTTGTACTGTTATGATTTTATTCTCTTATTGTTTGTAAATTTTATGTCATACCCATTAAAAATCGTTCGTAGATGGCATTCTGAAAATAATTTGTACAGTCGACTATCACAATTTGAGCAACCAACCCAACTAAAACCATCCACACGAAAATCGCCACGAATTGAAGGTGCACTCTCGTTTTGAGAAGTGGAAGACGTTCAGATATTTTTGGTTGTTTAGATTGCTCAGATAATTTGGATGCTAACTGTCTAATATATTATATTTTTGTTTGTAAATAATTATTTATTTTGCATTTTAGGTATTACGTACGCTATCTACTGTTTTATATAAACATAATTAAAATCTTCATCATCAACGTTTCTAAACGTAGATAAAAGTGCATTTTTCCATTTATAATTTTATCACACAGTATTCCCACGGCCCCTGTTTCGAGTGAGAATTTCAAAACGTTGAACAATGAGTGCACCGTGCGCCTGTATTTAACCGTCTACAGCATGAGTGGTTGCAATGTGCGCCTGTGTGCGTAGCTTGCACCAGTGCAGGGTGCACTCAACGAAACGGGCGAACAAGCGAGTGGCGAGACTCGAGTCAGGCTGCAACTCGTCAATGTAGGCGTACGTTTTGTAGTAGAATAGTCGAGTTTTGTTTATCTTGTAGTCCACGATGATCGTCAAACTGCAATTTAATTACTTACCTGCTTACTTCGAGTACTACATTGAGGTTTATTAATAACTTAAGTTTTGACATTTATGGATCTAAATAATAATAAAAATCTCCTTTTTTTATTTAATAATTTTAATTCGCGACGATATTTAATTAATTTAAAAAGATTGTGCACTCGGCCTACACAAACTCACTTTTTTAAACGCCAACATTTGACAACTATAAATGACGTAAGGTGCAATTTTCAACAAAAAAAATCTCAATTTGATTGTGGCCCACTGTGCGTACAAAATAAAAATATTTACGAAATAAATGCATGTTGCCGTCCAATTCAATATTTTTTTTTACAAAATTGTCGGAAGTCGGGGCGCACGAATGACGGCAGGCGACAGGTGAATTGATCACAACAGGCGATTCTTGCAAGCTGCACTATTCTATATTATACCTCTGTATTTATATATATTTCAACGATAATAAATCGCAAAATGATCAATATAAACCAAAATTCAAATTGTTTCTTCACACTCTGTGATATAAATCGAACAAACCTCTTCGTCCCTTTTGAACTACAATACCTACTCCATCGTTCCCATCTTACACAAACAAATAACGTTTTACTAAGTCATCGAAGATCTCTGAAACGCTGATACTTATCAGTCATCATTATTGAACGGAAAATGACTTAAGTACCTGTAGAAGAAACTACTACTTCTCGCCACAATTCCGAAACGAGTTAAACCTTTCTTGGGTATATCTTGCACCACCCCAGCAATGATTGAGGGTCGTATTCCAGAACTGTACTCAGTGCTCAAGTCAGGATTTGAGCAGACTTGAGTATGATTTCAAGCACTGGAAATACAACCCTAATGGCAAGGACTTGAGTATGAGTTTCAGTGCTCACTGCAATACTCAAGTCCTGACTTGAGTATTGTGTAGAATTCTGGAATAAGACCCTAATGTCCACTTGCACTAAACTTAAGTATCTCTTAAACCAATGCTTAAATTGATAAGACACTCTTAACACAATGTATTAAGAGTTTCTTTTGCATTGCAATTATTGGTTTAAGACGTACCTAGGTTTAGTGCAAGTGGACATAAGACTTGCGTGTTAAAAAGTTAAATGGCAAAACTTGTGTAAAATACTGAACATTCTATAGTTTCTCCTGGAAACATAAATATTATTTTTTAAATTAGGTATAATATTAATGCTCAAATTTTTAAAATATTCATTTATCATGAGACTTCACACATCATAAGAAAATAATAATAGATACATAAAACGAGAGATGGAGTAAATGACGCTTTCTCTACAAAAACAAGTCTTATTACAAAATATCTAAAATGCGAATCAATCATTCGCAAAATTAATATATAGGCGTACAAATATTGAAAGTGCATAATCTTTTACATTATTTCGAGTGTCATAGTTAAATAATTGTTTGCAATTTCCACAAAATTTCTACGTTTTGCCTAAATTTAGATATAGACAATTTATTTGTTATATTATATTAAGTTTTACATTATAGTTTAAGATATTTAGATTATTGATTAAGGAAGTCCCCACACTTATTAATTGCGGAATTAACTTAAGCCTGTCAGAAAAAGTTTATGCCCATGCAATAAGAGTGGAAAAGACGTGACGCTTCCGCTCAAACCACGCCGCCCCGCGCGCCGTCTGTCGCCGTGGACGCGAATCGCATTCGCTCTTATTACATGATCATAAAGCTTTTTCTGACCGGCTTACTGCCATGCTATATCGATAAGTGTGGTAACTCCCTAAAGAGAGTGCCAATGACCGTACCATCAAATAAACCAATCACTATTTTCGAGAATAATTTATGGTAACATTTCGTTAAATGAAATCGCGAGGCATTATTAACTTTTTTAATAATTATTAATAGTAACGTTATCCTTACTTCACAACCTTGCACAGCTGTAAACTACAGCAGTCTAAAAATTAGTAAATTGCACGCAAGTAAACAGCTTAATCTGTTTAAAGTACCAATCAATATACAGTTCACCCACTTTACTAGTTGACGGAGTTAGGTACTTAACACACACGCACACTAGTACGTACGAACATATTTGATTAGAACTGACACTCGTCTGAAATCAATTGCATCAGTGAAAATGCACCTTAAAATCTGAGACGTGTTGGTTAAGTCAAATGTTTTGAATGTACATTTGTACTAAAAGAGACATGTTATCTTCTGTGTGCAGGACTGGACTTAATTAAAAAATACGAAATACTTTCATGAGGTGTATTTAAAGTATAAAATACAAACCACGGTATTTTGATCGCATTTAAAACACGATCATTACCTCCCGGGTACCACGAAAGTATTTGAAATATCAATTACTAGATATTTAAAATACCAATTACAAAATGCATTATTAGGTAGTATGTATTTCAATGCAATATATTTGTATTTCAGTTACAATTAAATCTAACAGTACCCAGCCCTGACTGTATTTAGTAGGTTCGAAAAAATGGTTTAATTCTTACGCACCTTTTACTCTCTCGTGTTAATAAATCGTTGGTCGCTGTCCAGTAGGTTCTTATACTACAGATTATACTAATTAACTGATTCTCTAAAACAGAAATTCCATGCTTTACTATACCAGCCTTGCTAGCGCTAACAATGATTTAAATAATTTTCACCAAAAGTGCGAAAAGCAAGATATTTGCCTACTTTATAAGTTGGTAGGTACCTATTCATAGATTGTTGGGTAGATAGTTTACGCGAGGTTATTGACCCGTGCGCTACCGCCATCTGTTTTTGCCGTACTTCATATACCTACTTTTACCCTCATTTTTACCTGATGCTTTAATTTTTGTGACATGTTGCCTTTAGCGTAAATAACTTGAGGAAACCTATAAATAGTTGTCCTATAAATTTTATCTTATTATTTGCGCCTTTACTTACACAAACCTTGATATTTTATTACAAATTAATCTTTGAATTTTAGTTTCTTTAAATGTTATAAACATATAATCTCTGAAATATATACTTAAAAAGTGGATATTCCTAATTTAATTGATTTAATTATACGTTATTTTTTATTTAATTAGATTTAATTGATAACAGATAGGAAACCCAGATCGATCGAAGTTAAGTTACGAAAACTTTTATGTCTAGACTGGCTGTATGTATCGAGATCAAAATAAAGCAGTTTAGAATATTTCAGTTTCCCTCCCTTCGAAACGAGAGCAGACGGAGTAGGAAGGGAATGCGCAGAAATTCAATGCGCATGCGATCAATACGGTACCCCTCCCTATTTCGCGCCAAACCTGCGCGCGCAAAATTGACCATCGAGGAAAAGCCCCTCGAGTCTTACTCAAGTTTTCGCGCCAAATTAAGTTGATAACATTTTGGTAGCTTAAAACTATCCCAAAATTGTGTCTGATATATCTTAAAATGAATTATGAATTTAAAATCCTGCTTAGACCTCGGACTAGGCCACACTTACGGCTATAAAATGTTACAAAACCTCGCTTCCAGTCATTTTGACCGCGGCATTTAATTTTTCCGAGACGTTGATTTTTCGCGGTTGCCTACCTACACGAGTGACGAGAGCAGCAACGGAGAGCTCCGACTAGAGCGGCGCAAGAGCCGGCCACGGGCGGGTTCAAGGCGATCGCGCGCGGTCAGGTTCGAGGACACTCGGCGGGCCCCTCACAGTGCCTCCTCCGTGACTACTCCGCTGTACTCTTGTCTCTTCAGCCATCTAAACTTCCCCTTTCGTATCGTCTAGCCATTTAAATTCCGGTTTTGGTTATAGTATTTTTCACGAGCTCAAATTATTACTAGTGAAATAAAGAAAAGACTAGTCAATGTTTAAATACATTGTACAATATTGTACTTTTTTTTTGTGTTTTTACGCTAAACTACTCATTATAACAGAATAAAAATATTTATAATCACATTATCAGCCAAAAATGTCACCGTCGGTGTAGCTTAATTTAAGTGTAGGTACACGAAACTCGTATAAACATTAGGTTAAATTTTCAAGAAATGAAGTCCAAGCATAAAATTTTCATTAAGTACACAAGAGACACTCATACATGTTCATATTGCACGTAACGTAAAGCAAGATGAACTCTTGTAGCAATAAAGGCTGAGTTCATGGCCCTCTCCGGCACGGTTTGACTTACGTTCACGTGGGTAACTACCTACCAGACAGTCGGACTTTTTCGTATATAAATAACCAGCCAAAATGTAATAATAACACCTTAAGTGTACCTAAGTTAATTACCTACGTAATATTATTTAATTGTAGTTTTTAATTTTGTATCATAATTATTCTAAGACATCCAAAATCAGTTTACGGAGTCGTAGCTACCTTTATTTTTTAAGTAACTGTTTTAAACTGTAGCTGGTACGAATTTAATAAGCACGGTGCAAATTGGTGCTGTAAACCCAAAGGGCGCGGCGCGAGACGGCTGCAATGTCATTAGGGGTCGTTTCACCCTCTTTCGATCCTCTTCTTCTATCTCTGTCAGGCACCCCATTCCAGTAAGTCTCTTTCTAACCTATGGATTATTTTTAAGCTTTACATTTCGGCGGGAAAATCAAATGTATATCTCTAAATATTTGAATCGTTTGTATACTCAGCAATCTAACCAGCATATCAAATTAAATACCTGTTCACTCATCTCAATAACTAAATATCATGCAAGATCTGTAAGCAAACGAACACCTAACGACTAAGTGTCCGATAGCATAGTAAAAATAGTACAAACCAAACTACAACATTTAAGAAATGGTAAACTGTAAACTCCAAGTTATCTGCTCAACTGCTCTTATCTGTCAATGCACCCAATTTGCCGTGGCGTTTCGGAATACTGGATTAAGAAATTAAAAACGAAAAATGACTTTAAAAAAAATGGATTTATGCGACTGCAGTCTAAACAAACAGTTTTGTAGGAATACATACCTTAAATGCTTTTAATGTGCTAATCTGACTAAAACAAGTTTTGGTGAATTTATCTTCAATTTTAAGCCATAAGCACCGTACAGTACATACCTACTTATTATAATTACTCTTTAGAAATCGAAACATCCTTGCCTTCCGATCGGAAGAAGATGAAAGTAATTTCCATGTACACTTTTAGTTTAATGGAACATACCATACCAGAACAAGTTTATTTATAGCTACAGACGAGTAAAAGCATTAACAAAAAACGTCGTCCCGAATCTTGGAAGCCTTTGACTGGTTCCGTTCGTTGTGTTTTTTTACACGTCGTCAGTTATTAGGCGATCCAGTCGGGCCCTCGTACATTGGACAGCAAATTATGGATTGACATAGGTCCAGAATGCTGGATACAAACTTGCTATATGTAGTGTAAACTTGCTAAATAAGCATTTTTGCATTAAAATTCTCTGCATATGCATCATATTTACAGATAAAGTCGTTTTAATAATAAGAAATTTACGACATTATTTCCTTACAGTATGCACATATTATTATTTCATGTTGAGACACAGTCACTCTCTAACTTATAGCGCATTCCTGAAATACTGTTTTGCAATTCAACGTTTTCAATGAGAGTAAACAAGATAGCATTTATACAATTTACTCTTTCTCTACTGGTGTAGGGTAGCGCATACCACAAGATCAAAACAGGTTTCTGTACTACATAGTGGTTTCATTGTACTGCCCCTCCCGTTCGAATATTTCGTCTCGGAAACCAACCGGTTCGAGGCTGTATCAATCAAATTGGCGGGAAAAAGTTTTGCGGAAGACCTTAATGTTGTATTGTTTTAGTTATATTATGTCGTATGTTTTTATTATAGGAGTGCTCAGACATGGACCTCTACATCACGGATTCACTGCAAGATATGCTGGACATGGACATCAAGAATGAAATCGCCACAGACCTTAGTAGTATCACTGACTTTTCTGTTAGTATTATCTTTATTGTAGGTTTTTTATAAAAATGTTAATAACGTTTCAATTTAATAATCGTGAAATTTTTTTGTGTTACAGGACTCATTAGGGCTAAATTTTTCTGAATTGCCGCCATTATTAGACATGGACACAGATAACTCTGCGACATGGCTAACAAACTCGTCCAGTTTCGTACACAATCTTGATTTATATGGTTCAGAAGCTAATGCAGTAATGGTCAACCCAAATTCTGTAATGCCATCCACATTTGCGGAAACCCCAGTAAAAAGTATAGTAAAAGAGGAAGCCTCAAACTTACTGCTCACGTCGGCAGCTAACAATGACTTGAATACTAACACTGCCCTGTCGAGTCCAAAGGAAGAAAAAAGTCACTTAACATTTTCTCCTAACGCCATAAAAGTACCAAAAGTAGAGCCCGAGGACCCGGCGCCAGCGCCTAAGAAAGATTTAGAAGAAGCAACGCAAATGGTAATTTACGTAAGAAAACAAGATAAAAATGTGGTTAAAGATCTGTTAAAGGATTTGGACAATAACAAAGTAAAAGCAGCTAATGCACAGAACACAACAACATCCACTTTGCGAATAAAAGCATCACAACCAGAAATAATCAAAGTGAGCAATAAAAATTGTTCTATTTTAAATACAAGCCAAAAATTAACGCAACATTTAGGTACTAAAACAATTATTTCTGGAAATATACACATATTAGATGCTCAGCAATCTAGGACAATTTTAGCGAATGGTAATAAAAATCAAGCAACAATATTGATTGACAATTCGTCGTTGAGTAGCAATAGGCAAATAATAAAGACAGCAGTAGGCGGAGCATTTACAGTTGATACAAGCCAAGCTAAATATGTAAATACGAATAGTAAAAACACCGTGGGAGAATTTCCCAAGCCTGCCTATTCTTATTCATGTCTAATAGCAATGGCACTGAAAAATTCAAGAACGGGAAGTCTACCTGTATCAGAGATTTACAATTTCATGTGGTAAGTTGTGAGGTTTGATTTATGTCTCCTAACTAAAATTTGTTTTGTTTGTATACTAATTTTTTTTTTTTTTGCAGTCATCACTTTCCTTATTTTAAAACAGCACCAAACGGATGGAAGAATTCAGTTCGGCATAATCTAAGTCTGAATAAATGTTTTGAGAAAATAGAAAAACCATCAACAAATGGAAGTCAAAGAAAGGGTCTGTGTTTTTACGCTGTGTATTTTAATACTTTTAACACCAATATGTTTGCCATACATATGTTATGATATCAATACGTTTTAACTTTCAGGGTGCTTATGGGCAATGAATCCATCGAAAGTGGGCAAGATGGATGAAGAAGTGCAGAAATGGTCTCGAAAAGATCCGCAAGCTATAAAAAAAGCTATGGTTTATCCAGGTAAATTTTTAGTCTTTGTACACATATTCTATTGAATTTTTTAAGCCACTATATTACACCGTTCTCGATCGATTCTTAAGTGTTAATTCTGGATTTGCAGAAAGCCTGGAAGCTCTAGAGCGAGGTGAAATGAAATACACAGGTATGGGAGGCGGCGACACAGAAGCGGAAGTAGAAGACGATGTCGACGTGGACCCTGACGCCGATGCCGATCCCGAAGCCGACCTTGACCCTGAAGTTGAATTAGATCCCGAAATCAAAGAAGAGGTGGATGATGAAGAGGCTATTGTAGAACAGGTAAACAAATGCGACTACTATTTCATTCTCACAATGTCACAAAATTCGCATCTATGGAATGTATAACAAACAAGGGTATAACAAAAAAGTGTGACCATACATATTCCAGTTGGTTATCGTACTTATGATACTAAACATGGGGCTATTTGAATATGCGAAAAAATTATGATTATCGTTTTGTTGGTAACCCAAATTAATATTTTTCCTTAGTTTTTTCTAAAATTGTTTTCATAAGTGCCTGTTTCCCAGCAATTATTATCAATATTTTAGCAAATACGGTCGGTCGTTTTTGGTCCAACTTATCTTACCCATCATGATGTCCAAGATTTACATGCACGTTCCAAATTTGAAATGACGGATAGGCGATCACGTGAAAGACTTGCTTTCACTGAGCCCACACTAGCTTTTTCACCAAATAATTGTCACGTGTTTTATCAGGAATTGGAAGTAGAAGAAGTGGTAGAAGGCACCGGGATGGTAGGCGGCACGTACCGGCTGTTAGCCACGGGACCGTCGTCACTCACGTCTTATATTACCGATGTCGAGTCAGGCGAGGAAGTCAGCGATATTGAGGTAAACACTGCAACAATTTTACTTTTGATTCCCTGTGTCCATGTTTAAAAAATATAACTTGCATCTTTATCACCCGTATCTCTTGGGGCACTATTGAGTACAGTACTTTACTGCGCTGACCCAACCCAAAGCATGTTGGTGGTACACACGTCTCTTTAAAAGTAATTAACTAAAAAGACTGAAGTTTATAGGTCTGTTAACATGAGAAAATGTCGAATTGCAGGTACTGGATCAGTCATACGAGGAGATTGATATAGACGTCACGAAACCAATGAAGCTAGATCTCTCGGTCACTGAAAACTATACAAGTAAGTACCATTAACAATCGTACAACATCACATATTTTTTTACAGTAAAGTTTAGATTCCAAATTCTAGAATGTGATGTGTTCATTTCAGTACAACCAGCAAAGAGGGCAAAAACGAGCTTCATTTACCAACCAGTTACGACACAGACTCACACAAGCAGACGGAAAACGCCACTCGTCAACAGAGTTGCACTAATTTAATCACCAGCACATGACTTTATTGATTAACAAATTGTGATCATAAACGACATGGGGTCAAAATAACTTAGTCTATTCATTGAATGTTCCATTTACGTTTTAATAAAATGTGTTAGAAATGTTTGTAGCTGTGAATCGTGTAAAATGCTGCGTGTTTTTTGTATCAAGTTGATAGATCGCAAAAGTGATAGTCGGTACCAGATAGTTGTATTTACATTTTTTTACGAATGGGACACTTGTTACATATCTTTACACTGTAAAGTAGATTTTTGTATTTGTTAACACATTCCTGAAAGTTCAGGGATCATTTCAAAGTGACTTTTTTGTATAATTCACTTAGATTTGTAAGTGTTGTATTTTCAATGCAATGTTCCCTTATAGTTCATAAACAATAAGTTGGGTGGTCCCCGACTAAGCCATCAGTACAAATAAATTTGCCGCTGTATCGACACATGTTGTATGCTTATACATAGAAAATAAGTATAATAATCATAATGAAATGACTTTATATTAAGTGTCGATAATTGAAAACTAGAAGCAATAACTGAAATGTACAAAATTCTATAATGCATATTTTAGTATATTAATAAGAAATGTCTCAATACAATGGCTTTATAATATTACATATAGCGGGTATATAAGTAAACTTCCCACCGCTACTTTTTGTACATACTTTACTTGTATGATCCGTATTGTTTTTTATATATATATTTTGTTGACGTGGCAGCTAAGTATAACAATTTAGTGCTAAGCCTATTCCTTATTATTTCGTTGTACCCTGACTGGTAACGGAAAAAAATCATAATAAATACAATTAATTATTATCTCACACTTAACACCTTGCTTCAATTGCTTAGTTTATCTGTGAGAAAATTATCAAACTTGTATTTTCATTTTCTAGACTTAGAGCTAACTTGTTTTATCTACTACCTCTACATCATAGTGATAAATTTATAATAATAAAAATGACGATGGTATATATATTCCGTCGATTTCAATGTATGTATTCTGATTCCAATCGTGATGAAATGAAAACTTGTATTGTCTTAGAAAAATTAAGTCTGCCTCCTTGACATCAATATGTTTAGTACACATGTTAATGGCAGGACTAAAAATGTAGAATTATATTTTTTGTTGTGTGCGCTGTATAGGGTGCGAGCGTGAAAGCGAATGTCTTAGTAGTGGTTGTGATAAGCTGGATCTCTCGAATTAGCGCTGAATTGGGGTTAATAGAGAAAAACTGGCCACTTAACATGCTATGGAGAGGAAGTTTGTAGTAGGTCCATATTTTAATGTTTCTGTTCCTTTCATGGCAGAAAAACGATGCTAATTAAAATGTTTCCCGTGTTATTTCTAGACGCAGTAAGTACTCTTAAATAGTGTTGTAGATTAACATTTTCTACCTACAATATCTTTTCCATATAAAAATTAGAATAGTTGAAACTGTGATATGATAATTGAATTAAAATCGAGGTATTATCGCAAGTTATTTTCTCAAGACTTCTGAATCACTTCGGAGAAAATTGGACATTAAATTGAAAATGTTGGTAAGCACATTGATAGAAGTATCTTAATTATTAATCCTATCTTTAATTATAATTAGTCTAAATAAGTACTGTGCAAGATTGAAAGGTACTTTAGCGATTATGTTCCTACATTTTGATTTTACGTATGGAAGCATTTCGTGAAGCCGTTTCATCAGTTACTGTTGTACGCTGATAAAGCATAGGTATATGAATTTGAATGTATTCGTCCCAGTTCTTTGTGGATACGAGTGATAGAAAATCGTAGGTAATTAATTAACTAGGTTTGAGTACACGTTGCGAATGTGTTTGCTGGTATGTTGGATCTGTCAGTGTTGTCGGTAATAATCTTGATGAAAATATTTAAAATACTAACTAATTACATATGAATATTCCAAATATTATCTTGCTATAATTGACTACACCAAGTGAATGTGATGTTTAGTCTTATTACTATAACAAAAGGCAACTAAATTAGGTGCTTTTTGTATACCAATTTCAAATAAAAGGAGTGCAATTGTGTAAATATTTTATTGTAGTTCGTCATTTGGAATAATAATAATAGTGCGTATATATTTACTTAACTGTAATCATATTTTAGAAGATTCTATCGTGTTTATGAATTTTTGTATCCATAGAAGTTTTCTCAATATAAATAAATATTTGTTCATGTTTATCTTTTGTACTCGTGTAGAATAACAACTTATTCAACTCTGCTGTAGGCTGATTTAGAAGTACAATCGGAACTAATAATAGTATATACAAGTTAACATATGACTGAATTGTAACTGAAATTAAGTTCGTTTATAAGATTGTACATTGGGTTTGCAAAAACATACGCCATGCGATAATCTTATTCACAGACTTAGACTGTCATACCTATAATTACTTCCAATAAATAAAACCCACGTTTACAATTTTAGATAGTAATTATATTGCGTATTTTTCCACTGCCAGTATTTCAACATCCATGTAAAAATAAGCATTCTAACAAGTAAGAGTAGAATTTAGTTTAGTTTATTAGTGCTGTATTAAAAACTAAGTTGGATGATTTTTAATAACATTTTTGTAATAAAAATTAAATGATTAATGAGTATAATATACTGAATTTAATTTATATTTCTTCCGTCATTATCCACGCCACACAATGCCGAATTGTGTGTGTGTGTGTGTGCATGCGTGTGTGTATGTATACATTTAGTAAAGTAATCAACTTTTTAAAGTCATCACATTTCCTACCAAGTTAAATTCACTGTCCTCAGCGTCTCACCCGAGGGATGGGTATTTCGGAGAGACCAGGGTACAGCGGGCGTCCGGACCAAGCCTTCAGCCAATGATACGCTTTTACGAGGGTCGACCAGGGCTTGAGTATGGACTCGCTAGGGTTTGTGGTTAGCTGTAGGGATGAACACGTTCATCTGCCCCGGTAGTATGTGGTCATGCGCGCATCTTAGCTGTGATCATGACCTAGTGCCTAAGGCGAGGAGACGCGCGGGGCACGTGAGTTGCCCTTTTAAGTCTGAAGCTATGGTCGCAGGATGCTGCGACCGGCACTAGTCGCAAGAGTTAGTAGAAGATGAGCTAGATATCCTCTGGTCCCTCCGGCCGTACACGGGGGACGTCGTTTTTGGGCGTCGGGAAGTGAGCGTGTCTTACGACTCCGCCACACAAATACGAGATTTGGCAGTGGACTTTAGAGTCAACGGCTTAGCGGTGGCAACCGTTAGCAAACTGGTGACAAAGCGCAACGGGAAGTTAGCGTACCTACAGCTCCGGTACCTATCTGGAAAATGGAAGGTACTGTACGTGACGGCTCACCTAAGGCACTAGCCTTCTGAGAACCGGATGAATCCCGTGTAAACGTGACCGTCAGGATGGCTGGTCGCCTGTCGCATCTGGCACTTAAAGTATATTCAAGAATTGCTACCTTTTCTAAATAATTGCTACCTTTGACAAATTCCAGGTACAAAAAAGGTAGATTCCCAGGAAGATATTCGTATCAGTCTGCTGGAGATTCGAATCCTCACTGATGCCGAATTAGAAAAGCTTGTCACCCAGCCAAACATCATCGATCACGGTCGGCGAAATTAAAGCGTACAAACTTTGCGACCCGGACATTTAGAAAGAATGTGAGAGAATCGAAACGTGATAAGAGCTCATCTGAGTCCGCCCACTGGACGAAGATCAGTTGATCGTCCTGGAAGTGGACCTGTGCGAACTTCAAGGCATATGGGCGAAAAAAACCTCTCGCAGACTACGCATAACTGGGGCCACTCAGCCAGCAGAGTAAGTAGTTGTTTGAGTTTGTACTTACTACACATATGCGCTTCGCGAAAAATTGGCATGGCGAAAATGTTTTACTTTAATGTTAACTTCTTAGTTATTTTTACTTTTTTGTTAATATTTAAATACAATTAAAATTAATTTAATTACGTTTCTGCCTATGTGCATCCTAGATGTAAATATTAAAAGTTGATTATTTTTAGTAACAGTACCTGTGCATAAACATAGTTTAAAAACTTTAAAAATAATAGAAAGGTTGAATTATTGACTTCAACAATATTTTAGAAACTAAGATAGCGGTCGAAAAACCATGACATGTCGCAGCCGTACTTTTAACTTTAGGTACCACTGGGACAGCTAGCTTCTGGTTATTTTTTCGGGGAACTCTATGATGCCGTGATCATTTACTCTATGCTTGTTCATATTGTAAACTGAGGCCATGGTCTGCAAATGTGTCTATTCCTTACTTATCTGAAATCTTATCCAAACTTGTATTCCAGAAGATGAAGTTAAATCTATTGAAATCATTTAATTATATATAACAGTCCAACCTAATTTCATTATTGATATAGTTAATTTAAAGTAAAAATTGTTATTCCAAATCCTTAAAAAAACCTAAGTTCTTCACGATTTTATGTGTTATTACTTGGACAATCTTACTTGCATCGTTCACATTTTAGCATTTTGAATGTTATTTTTTAATCTGAATAGTTTAAATAAAATAAAAAAACTCGTTAGCGAAACCCGACTTTTTTGACCGCCTTCATGTCTTTTGAACGCAGAAGATATTGAAACCCGCGCGTTACTCAATATAGAGCTGTTATAGGTTGTACGTATTTCCGGTTGAATTCAGTGCCTAACACAGGTGCCCAAGGCGCTCTGCAGATGGAGCAACTTTAGTTAACGCAACTAAACTAAACTAAACGTCTTAGTGCTTCTAGTGCTAGTCTTTTCTAGCGCTTGAAATCATTTATTTATTTATTTTGTATTTCACATTTTTGGATGGTTGGTACAGATTTATAACCGTATGACTATTTTGGTAGGCATATTCATGTGATACCCCGTAATGGTGTAGCAAATTACACTTAAAATTAAAATTAGAATTAAAATTAAGATACATTTTAGATTTGAACATAATTGGTTAACAAGTATTTTTATTACTATTTATACATACATTTATTTATTTATTATTATTATTATTATGTATATTTAATTTAAAATTCCAAATATAACTAGATTAGTATTACGATATGTTACGTTATATTATGTTAATTATTTACAATCGTCATTCAAGAACTCATCTACGGAGTAGTAGCACTTTGATAACAGTAAATTTTTAAGTAGGCGGCAAAAAGATTTATCCCTTATTTCTTCTTTTATTGCGTCAGGTACTTTATTATAGACTTGTATGGCTTTATAGTATGGGCTGTTTTTAAATTTGCATGTTTATGGGCGGAGTTTGTAGTTGTTTGTTGCGCCTAGCGCTGGTGCAATATTTAAATTCGTCGATGTTTTTCCTTACGAATAGCGCTAATTCAAAAATATAAATGGAGGGAAACGATAGAATTTTTTCTCTTATAAAGTACGGTTTGCAGCTAAATCTTGGTCCTATATTTACCAGAATTCGAATGCACTTTTTTTGTAACACGAAAATATCATGCGCGTCCGTACTATCTCCCAAAAATTGTTATGGGGATGAGATATGGCATATTGATGCCAAGCATGTCGGACAGTTCGGTTACATAAACAATAAAAAGTAAACATCCTATCACTCCTGTAGAATTGACCAGTTTGTACTTCTTATGTTTGACTGTATTTGTTGTATTTCTCGGGTTTGAATATTATAATGTTCAATTTCAACGTATTGTTACCTGTTTCTCAAATAAGATTTTAACCAACTATGTACCTTTCCGCGTATGCCTATGTTATTAGTTTAGATAATAGGATATTATGTGAAACCCTGCCGTAAGCCTTCGTCATATCAAGGAGTATACCTATCGCGTACTATTTATCCTGGATGTAGTTAAATACCTGTTGCATATATCTTACGACAGCATGCGTAGTTGATCGATTTTTACGAAAACCAAATTGGCTTTTGTTTAATAAATTAAACTTTTCTAAGTAGCTATAAATGCGATTTGCTATTGCTTTTTCAATTATTTTCGAAAAAACTGGGAGAAGATCAATTGGCCGATAGTGGTTTGTATTGTCCTTCTTTCCACCTCAACCTTCCTACTCACTACTACTACTACTGACTTGAGCATTGAGTAGAGTTCGGGAATACGACTCATACCTACAACAGCTAGTAGCGGGTTATCAGTTGCCGAAACTCTATGATCAAAGTTGCTCCATCTGAGTTGTCTATGCATCTGCGCAGCGCCTTAAAATACGCATTGCCCAGTGTTGTCAACTTAGCGATTTTGTCGCTAGTAGAAAGCGACATTTCGACATCATGTACCTCCTCCACATAAGAGTCGACACTATCTTCGCTTGAATTAATTTTTTTGCCGTACAGAATCGGTTCTATAGTGCCGGTCGAGCGGCAAGGCTTTATTTCAGATTTTTTTTCTTTTTTTTTTTCATTTGAGAAATGTATATCGTATGGGTACCTGTACTATACGTGTTCTATTTACTTCAGTTGATATAAATAAATCGTTGGTATATGTAAAGTATGTACCTACCTATTGAATAAGCGGTTTTCTTGTAAATTTTCGAGGTGAATTTGTGTTTTTTTTTCTATCGTGAAAATTTTTAGGAATTGTGTTTTCACATGCTAGTATCCTAATCAGTGTATATCCTCAATTTTACTGTATTATATTTTTTCCAAAGTGATGCATTTGAGGTTGTATTGGCTCTTAAAGTTAAATATTTAATAGGTTAGGCCATGAAATCTAAATAAGGTTAGACTATCACTAAATTAATCACTAAATATTTCCCTTATATATCAAATGTTGTGTATCGTTGTTACTTCCTGTAAATTGCTATAAATAAAAAAATATTTTAAGTTATTTTTATTATTTGCTGTCACTTTACGGCATAACAAAACACAAATTTTTAAAAAGATATTTATTTATTTACATTGATTATATTGAAATCGATATCTCAGTAAACACGATTTTGTTTACTGACAGTTTTAAACCACCCGGTAATGTACTTTCCTGAAAAAATGGCAATTATTTAAAACTGACCATTAGTGGTGTTCATGTAAAAAATTTTCGATATATTTTCCGATGTGATATATCGAAATGTTGTATCGATGTTATGCGATATATCGGTACAAAACATCGATATATCGTAAATAATTCAAAAAGATATAAGGAAGGAAATTTTACTAAGAGTAAGTAAGTAAAATAACCAGTTTTGACATGACAATAATCAAATGTATTTCTTCAATTACTGAATCCTAACACAACATAATCACCCATACACAAGCAATATTATTGTTAATGTTATTGTGTGTGCGGGTAGCCAATGAGAATATGACCACTACGTCATACTGACGGATGACCAGCGAATCAGCGCTCGAAGGACGTTTCGTTTCTGCAAGTACAATTATGAATTGTACTTGCAGAACGAAATCGTATAATATATATCGATACGCGATATCGAATGATACGATAATATCGGATTGATTCGATATATCGAGTGCGGTATCGATTTTTTAAATACCGATATACATCGAGCACTCCTACTGTCAATTAGTGTCAATGTCAAATATTTCTAATCTAATAACAAAAGTTGTGGAAAGGTCCATTTTCTTTGTTTATTTTTTTATAAATACCGATTTCAAAACGTATTCCATAACACTAACATCACAATGTCTACGCGTGAAATACTCACGCTACAGTTCGGGCATTACTCTAACTACGTTGGTGCGCATTTCTGGAATATTCATGAGCTTAGTTTTGACTACACGGGAACAGTAAAATCTGAAGTTAATCATGATATTCTATATCGTGAAGGTCAGACCGCACAGGGACAAGTAACGTACACGCCCAGATTACTTTTAGCAGACCTTATAGGATCTTTGAAGACTTTGCCAGCAAGTGGTGGTTTGCTAGATGAGTCCGAAAATGTTAATCTACAATGGGATACCGTAGAGAGAATAGCAGAGCCGGAGCACACTAAAAATGAGTACTTAACGGACCTTGACGCTGAAACTCAAGAACCTATAGAAGAGAAGCAGTACAATTTTGAAGAAGAAGTTAAAACATGGACTGACTTTTTGTACCCTCGACTTCATTCAAGAACTGTTAATATTGTCAATAAGTATCATCATGGCAATGAAAATGTTAGTATTGTCTCAAGATTTACAAATTGAATATTATTATATAACAGTCAATTTAAGTAATTTTTTTGTTTCAGGAATCATTTGACATATCAAATGCTGGAAGAAGACTCTGGAAATCAGATTACGGCGACACATTCAGTGACAATATTCGCAAATATGTAGAAGAATGTGACAGCATGCAAGGTTTCCATGTTAACTTTGATTGTACTGATGGATTTTCAGGTCTTGCTATGGGTTGTATAGAACATTTAGCTGATGAATACACAAAGCCTATTCTGTCTTATCCAATAATAGCTTCACATTTTCCTGACAATAATCCGACAACTCAGGAAGAAAGAGACAAATCAAATCTAAAAGACTCTACAAGATTGGTAAACATTGCATTGGCTTTGGAACAGTTATCTGACCATGCAACAATGTTTGTTCCAATTTGCACAGGGGAAAAAGGATGGAGGAAGCCAGGAAATTCAAGAACATTCCAGTACCTGGATTATAATCCAGAATTATTCTATCATTCTTCTGCCATACTGGCTGCAGCTGCCGACACACTGAGTCAGAAATACAGGCATAAAAACAATATATTTACTATGTCTGATGTATGTGCTGACATGACTGGTTATGGAAGGAAAATGGCTGTTGCATCTCTAGGAATGCCAGTTGCTTTTAATGAATCAGGTTATTTAATAGACCATCTGAATAATATTACAAAACCAATCTATAGTCCAATTACTCCCAGTTGTAAAATTGGGACAGATAAAATTTTCCAATTAATCACAGTTAGAGGTATACCTGAAAGTTACCTCAAAGCACCATTAAAGGAAGCCAAGGAGCAAATGAATTTGCCAGCATACAGATGTAATACTGTACAAGAAATGTTTGAATTGTACTTCCAAGCAAATAACTTCCTTTCTGCCACTAACCTCACAATTTGCACAAACCCATTGGAATTGAAAACTCCCTTCCCTAGAATATTCTCTGATGCATTGAACAAATATGGATTTGTCAAGGATTATGACAGACAAGAGAGGGTTGAAAGTTGTGCTGTTATAGCTGGCTACCACAATGGCCAGTTTGTAGCAGATATGCTAGAGAAATTGCACAGAGAAGTGAGCAGGATCAAATTTTCTAAATTACATAAATTTGGCGAAGAAGGCTTGGAAGCTGCAGAATACAAAGAGAGCTTAGATAGGTTATTAGAGTTTAAAGATAATTACGAAGATGATTTTGAACTGTAATGAAGTTTAAGAACACTGACAATAAATACAACAATTAAAATCCATAAATGTAACTTTATTTTTAAGATGATTTAGATAAAATAAATCATATGCAGCCACACAATCCACTTTACACATATACAATCAAACTTAAAACATGATAGCAATCACGATGATCGCTCGAGCGCACGCTCCTTCATTCTTGTTATAAATGCTGCACCTTTGTTCTTTCTGAAGTTTTCATATGGATCATTGAGGTTTACGCCAATACCTACACAAAAAGACTAAATCAGTTTACTTAAATATATATTCTACAAATTAATTAGTAGTAAATATCCCTGTATACCTTTGGATTCAACCACATACCTGTTGTATGTGTTCACATTACAGCTGCAAAGCAATAACATGTATGTATGTATCATGCTAGTCCATTACATCATAACAACCAAAAAATTGTAAGTGATCAAAGACCTCTTCAGACAAGAGTTACGTTACAATCATCTCCTAATTTAATCCTTTCCTCTCCATCATTAATAAAACGGAGTGTAAAAAACCAGATACTTAGATGAACAAAGTCTTACAACAGTAAACCAAATGTGCAGGAATATGTACAGGTTGCAGTGTATGACAAGTCGAATTACCTTTATTATTTATTTATTGCGCATTGGCTATAGAGACTCAAAATGTAATATGCTTAACTAAAAAGCAATTTGTCTCAAAACTGTGTCAAACTACCAACTACCTTTATATTGATCCTGTTTATCTCTCACGGTCCCGGCGCTGATGGGTTCTGCAATACCTTGCCCGGCGGCCCCGAGGCCCCCAGCGCTCCAGCCCATTTTCTGTAGCAGCTGGTGACCCTTGTTGCTGGAGTCCAGCCCACTTGACGTACTGGGGTAAGCTCCTCCACTGTGAAATTTAAAAAATAGACATTGTACTGATTAAAAACAATCCTAAATTACACACTCAAATAAGTTAGTATGTATAAATTAGACATTTTTAGAGCAGTTTTTGTGGGAACATACATTCATTTCGACAACGGGATTTTGATTACTTATATTTCTGTTGTCACAATCAGTCCTGAACATGTGCTTAAAGTTACAATAATTATTATTAACAATACTAACAGAAAACTAGGCGGTGTTGGAGATCTAGAGCGTTCAACGCGCCGCGATCGTGGTGATGCATCTCTGTGCCTGTCACGATCGCGGTCTCTGTCACGTTCGCGATCGCGGTCACGCTCACGCTCCCGCTCCCGTGATCGGCTGCGTGATCTGGAACGCGATCTTGATCGGGATCTTCTGCGACCTAAACAAGGAGTAGAAACAACTGTTTTATGGTAATAGGTGTTAATAACGGTGTCGTCGAAAATTACTACTATCTGTAATAACAGAATGATTACACAAATATGTAGACCTGGATGATGAGTATTATATTATAAATAAATGAACACACAAGCTTAGAAGGTGTAGTTTACAATTTACAACATGTGTGGACTTAAAACAACACATCACAAAAGAATTTATAATAACAAATAAGTTAAGACTCACTTTCCCTGTCCCTCTCTCTCCTCCAAGAAGACGACTTTCGTCTAGGTGACGGCGTTCGCGATCGTGAACGCGACTTTGCCGGCGATGTTTTCTCAGGTGTCTTACTTTTTGACCTGCATACATAACGTTATTTAGAGGAACAAAGGTAGTATATTACAGCGAGACCATAAACAAATAAAGAAATCATCTTGTATAATTTAACGCAACATACCTCAATAGGTACATGTTCTAAGTCTTAAAAAAAATGTTTTTTTTTGCCTTGCAGTCACCATTGGTGTTGTTTTGTTATAAAAAATATGGACATATTTAATATGTAAAGGAAATTCAAGGAAATATATTGCATATACATGGTACGAAGGTGCCTATGAAATTAAATGTACGACCTTTTATGTTGTCCTTAACAGGAACAAATTATTCACAAAATACAAATTGCAAAATATATAGTTCTGACTTTGATATTACAGGTAAATGTAATTTATGGTACATACTACAAGTTCACATGCAGTTTTAATTAGTTTCCAAGAACCACGAACCTGTATCTTCTCCCAGGTGGTGTAGGTTGTTTTTGTAAATCTTTAGGAATAGGGCTCGGGGACCTTGATTTCTCACGCCTACCCAAAGCAATAGCTTCTTCCTTGTTTTTTCTGGCGGCATTTTTGGCTTTGTAGTACTCATACAAACCCAATTTCTCCCACCCCTCACTAAAAAATAAGTAAAATTCACTCATGTACTATCTCCACTACTGTTAATGATATTTATTGGACGCCTTTATTCATTGGACGATTTCAAACCCACGCAAAAAAAAATTACGAACGAAAGAAAGAAATTATACTAACTTATCTCGAGGTCTTTCATGGTTAGGAGCTGCATAGAACGCGTCAACTGCTGCTAATAATCTCTCATTGGGCGGTGCCGGCGGCGGCAGCCTAATCTTAGCTGGGTCGAGCGGGTTGTATTTATCTTCTTCAAGCTGGAAAATGCGTTGATTTCGTTGTACGAAAGATCACAAAACACAAATAGTTTTAACATTGTCTGTTGTATTATGTCTCACCATGATTAGAGGTACCATCAAGCCAGCAGGTAATTCAAAGTATGGGACAGATGGCATTAGTTCTTCATTGTTCACTTCAGGGAAAGGAGGGAAGCCAGGAGGAGGTTTACTGAGATCTGGAAGACCATTTTGGAATGCGAGAAGCGCCGAGTTCTCTTTCGGAGGGAAACCAGGAGGCGGTTGGGAAAAGTTTACATTTGGAAGATTTGATAAATCTGGTTCCTCAATAATTTCATTTTTCTTCTTAGTAATTTGATCAAACAGTTGGCTGTCAAAACTGTTTTCATTGCCACTTATACTGTTGTTAGATGGGTAATTGTCTCCACTATCACTGCCATATTGTTGGCTATTTGAATTAAAATTTGAATCAAAGTGAGTTTGTTGAAAGTTCTGTTCATTAAAACTGTTGTTTTGGAAGGAATTTTGCATGTTATTCTGTGGTCCATTATCTTTGTTTTGCTCCATATTTTGCATTTCTACCGCGCGTTTTTGCATTTCTAGCTGCTGTATTTGTTGCATAGTGTGACTAACAAATGCTTGATGTTGAGATTGGTAACTGTAAATATATAAATTTTTGTTTTAAAATTAATTGGTAGCAACCATCTACAAAGTACAAGCTTGATACATACTTTTCGAATGTGGATTTAGTTTGCTGTGTCAAATGTGAGACAGCATTAGAGTGTTGAGCAATTAGATTGTTCTGATACTCCTGGTAGGAGCTGGTCGGACTCTTCATTTTCTCAATGACTGCAGTCTCGAAATAGTTGGACTTGGACTCCCAAAGGCGGAGCAACTTGTTAAGCTTAGCTTCTTGCTCTTCAGTGACCGCTGAAACATCAAAACGTTTAAATTGGAGTCATGCGCGCCGCCGCGACACCAAGCTAGTTACCTGACTGGCGCAAACCACAGGCGATGGTGCTCTATAAATGCTAATAATTGAAGATGAGAATGCACAATCGAAAGAGAGACCTAGATCTCGAGGGCATTATTATAAATATGTTACCTATACTGGCATTGCAAAACATTGGAACCACCACATTTTCCAAATTTTTCTTGAGATCTTCTGCGTTTTTGCGTGCACTGTAATTAGGAATAACAGTATCATAGACACCGAATTGATAATGACAAGCAGGGATAACACATAGAAAAACTTCGATGAATACAAGTATTACACCAACTATAAATTCGTACTCAAAGAAACTATTTTCAATAGTGAAATATCCCAATGAATAATAAATCTTTCTAGTAATAAGTTTTACTAAAGTGTTAATTAACAATTCAAAATTCAATATAGAACAAATCAAACATTGTATGAATCTATGTTTAATGAAATATATGACTCGGTAGTATATAAAATTTAGTAAATTGATTGTGCAGATTCTAAACTTTTAAATTTGTGCTTTGTTTACAAAAATATACATAATGCACTAAACAACTCAACTAAAAAAGTTATGAAAAGAAATGAAAATGTTAGGAAGGATGAAAGGATGGGTAGATTTCTGAAGAGAGCATTGTTTGTATACTAACCAATGGTGTAGTACATCGTTGACCAGGTATATGATGTGAAGTTTCTGTGTGAATGCGGCACCAGGCTGTGTGACCTTTCTGAGCAGATGCTGGGATATTACTTTGCCAGCATCATAGGATGTGGCATGCTGTAATATCCAGCCTTTGCCTGTCAAATTTCAATCACAATGATTAGGGGCTCAATTGAATATGTGTGTCTATTAATAAAGTAGACACAAGCTGACAGACTGTAATTAGAATACAAAGAACATAATATTTTTTTAAACATAGCAAATTAAATATGTAGTACAATGTTTAATTCGATCTTTTATTTTGCTATAAGTTATTTTTTTTTTTATTTTGGCAGTAAGTTCACAAATCAAAGTATAGATTAAATATATACCTGAGGAGATGCTATCTTTAGTACAAGTGTCAATAATAGGTTGTAGAATATTGTCAAGATCTGTGAGATTTATGTTATTCTTCTCAGCCAACTGGTGGATAGTCTCCACCTGTGCCTTGCTCACCAATTCATTCACTTTCACTTGCTGCTGCTGTACTAACACCTAAAATCACACATTACGCTATTTTATCATGTATAAGATCAGACGGTACAAAATATGATACCAAGGAACCTAAATAATCACAAAGGCTTTACAAGTAAATATTTCTAATGCAGGAAAACATCATAGATAAAATACAACTTTTATGTATTATTTAAACCAAGGCGGTATGTTCATTGGAATACCACACTAAAGTTTGATTTTGTGCTGCTTCAACAGTGTAAATTGTTTTTGGAGCATTGAATTTGTGCAAGCTATTTTAAGCTTTATCTAAACAGCTGTAAGATTGCAGCATTTACAATCTTTTAAACTGTTTGACCAGCACTACTTGATGCCTGGAAATAAAATTATTCCATCTGTTTAGTATTAATTTAAACCGTTAACACCAAGATAAGAAGCATGCAATTTAGAATCCTATTGTGTGTTTTGTAGATCAACTTTGTTTTTGTAGTTTACAAAGCATATTATTTTGTATAAAGCATACATAAAACTGAATTAAGGATATTTTTCATTGAAACAACTTTTAGCATGAATACAAGGTTTTATAAATAATAATTGAAGCCTTTATGCTACATTGGCCTAGTTGACCATGGGTTAAAGTGTGTACGCGCCTAGAAGATTAGTGCTAATTGGGTATTTTCTTACAATGTGGAGTGTAAGAAAATTAAAAATGTATATACTCACAGTGTGTTGAGCATTGAGATTATTCTCAGATTGAGTGATTTGCTCTTTTAGCATGTTGATCTGAACATTGATGTTGTCGAGGTCATGGTTGTGAGGAGCATGCGAGGCGGCGGGCGCGGAGTTGGCGGCGAGCCACTGCTGCAGCGCAGGCGCCGCCGCCATCGACGCCGCCAGACCAAGCTGCGCGGGCGTCGCGCCGGCCTGTTGGGGCATTACATATTGCCTGTTCGGTGCCATATAAGCCCCGGCGGGAGCGGGAGCACCACCGGCCGATTGCTTTAGAACTATAAACAGCGGAGGTTCACTTGAAACGGTTATAATTACGAGCAACCAGCGATCGGGGCGACCGCTCACATTCAATCACTGCCATTTTCAATTTATGCTTACTTGCTTGCTCTGTCGTCACTTTGTACTGGTAGTAGTTGAAGTATTCGCCGCCGTAGAGGAAACTGAACTTGGGATTGTTCTTTTGTTTGTTCTTTGTCATCTTCTCAAACTCGGGTCCATTTCTGGCGACAAACTGTGCGAGCTTATCTATTATGTTGCGCAGGTCTTGGTCTAAAAACAATTGCAATATTGATCGACTACCCAGACTGCCTGAAAATCAACGTGTAAACACCCGACGGATTGCTACGTAACAAACCTTGTGGTGGCTGTGGGAGCTCCATTTTAAAGATTTTTTTATTGAGGTTATGGGCAATTTTCAATCAATTACACCGATAGTGTCGATGTGTATATTCTTCATTATAACTTAAAAAAAAATAATTTCATAAGCTTAAGTTATACTTTCACTAATGTTTTCACCGATATTATGACGCAAAAGAAAGTTTCTCTTCACAGTTCACGAATTAATCAGGAACAAGGCGAATTTCTAGTCGGCCATTTGTATCTTTTTTTTTCTCGAAACAAAGTAGTGATGGCCTCTTAGCCCTGGGCCATGGAGAAATCGGTTAATACAAACTGAAAATGGCAACTATTTTTGACAGCCACAAGGTAAGCAAAAACGGTTGTTTGTTTTATAATGAATTGTAATGGAATTGTATGTGTACTGTTAAGCAATTTTTCATTATCTGTTATTGTAAACTGTAGTATTGTATAGTTTTGCATACAACTTGACATACAACTTGACAATATAGCGTATACCGTATAGGACCGTGCATTATTGCCAGATGGTTACATTTCTTCAATTTTTCATAACTTTTGATCTATCGATTATGCGAAAATTGCCATATAAACAAAAATTACTTACACAGTTTTTAAGACAATTTTCGTAACTTTTGAAGAAATTCAACTATTGTAAATCCTAAATAGTTTGCAAACGCACAACCACAACCACAACCAACAATGTGTCACAAACTTGTCCTTAAAAAAATAGATTAATCGATAAGAATAAAATTATTGTGGGTGTGGGGGTGTGTAGTATTTAATACTAGCCCACAACATCCATTTAAGAAGTTGTTATTAATTTCAAAGTCAAAGTCAAATAATCTTTATAAGGTAAACTAATTGTACTTGAAATCGTCATATTGACTAAGCTCTACTGCTTATTCGTAAGGCAGATTCCCTGAATCAGCAAAAAACTTTAGGGGTTGCTCTTTGTAAATATATATTTAAATACATTTATCATTACAATATTTCATTTAAATATCTTAGGTCTAGACTACCCGCAAGAGCGAAGCATGGTAAATACCAAGAATTTTTTTCAGCCAGGTTTTATTTTTGCAGAAACCTTTAGTAAGTATGTTTTTTTAATACAGTTGCTCAAAACGTGGTATTTTTCGCACTACAAATCGTGCGGAAAGTTGGATTTCTCGCACTAGTGCTTTTTACTTTTCCAGTTTTTTTTAAATTTACTGTTGTTTTAAGTCTTAAACATAGAACTAAAGAAGTTGTATATTTATTTAATATTTGTGTGCTTTGTGACGTACATAAGTCATTCGTCATTAAAACTTATATTTATTTACAAATACTTATAATGAACGTATCGAGTGGAGGTCCACAGTCTCTGCCTACCCCTGAATGGGTGACAGGCGAGATTTTTATGTATATTTGTTCTATGTATTACAGATAAATTGTATCTCACTACCGTGCACGGGTTCCTAAAGAAGTTTAAACAAAAGTACCAGGACTTCATAATAAGAAAAGTGGTTACAGACCGATATTACAGAAAATAAACAAAAACAGCACGTTAGAACTAGATTTCCATAGACTTTTAACTAATGGTTGCAGTGGTTGTATTTCATTGTTTTAATTTACTAGCAGAAAATGAGTTTTGTTTAAATACTGTTTTATTTTACTTTCAATGTAGTTTTTTCGCAAATGTATTAAAAAACGTCGTTTGATACACGTGCGGATTTGTCATTTTCACTTGTCTCGCGTCTTGACCCTCGCCTCTGGCTCGGGCCAAGAAGCCTCGAGACTCGTGAATAATGACTAACTTTCCGTACTTATATCAAAAATAACTATTGTTTCACTAAAGTTTTAAACCTCGCTCGTGAATACTAAATTTTGAATATCGACCGGTACATACAGGCAACACCACTGCGACACTTTGTGTAAGGGGATTCGCTCTGGGCCTTTTGGAGTTTTGTTTTTATTTTGACTTTCAATTATTTTGTGAAATCTAGTTTAAAGTGGATAGGATAGTGCTATTGTGCCTTAATCGAAGATTAAAACGCGAAATTATACGAATCTCGAACTAAAATACCCGTATCGGCCCGTTCCGAGGAATCCCGAGTCAATCCAAGCACGCCTCCTCATATTGCCTATCCTCTTTGTGGCGGCCATATTTACAGAAATATAATTAAACGTTTATGTTTTCAGCTGAAGGTCTTTGTTTCCGTGGCCAGCTATAAATAAAAAAAAAACTTTGTGTAACCTGTTATTTATGGTTCAATCGTGGATAATAACGTTCACGCTATGAAATCATCGGCTACTGTTATAAAGCAATTGTTTTTTTGGCTATAAAACCATTAACCAATAAAATAAAACAAAATGGCTGTTTTCGGCATCAGTTGTATTTAAATTTATTGATATTAACTGCCTGTCGGTATCGAATATTAAAATACATATTATTTCAATTATGTAAAGGACAAAATCGTGATTTGAACGTGCGACTTTATAACAATAAAATATAAAATGAAAAAGAGAACTTTATATTGAGGACTGAAATTATTTATTAGTATCGTACGATTTGCAAATCGTAGCATCGTCCATTCATTTGAATAGCGACATCGCAACAGAATAACCGTAAAACAACATAAGTTTAGACAGTTGTTCGATTATGAGTTATACATTGCATAGGAATAATGCATTTCATTATCTGCAATTGTATTATTGACCACTTCCTTATAGGCTAGTCTACAACATTGTAGCCCACAGAGCCTTAGGGATGTCTGTGTACGTTTGTTTGTGATTAATTTGAGTTACATTAACTTAAACCGTACCTAATTATTAAATGGAAAATGAATTTTTTAACAACTTTCCGTTTGTGCCAGTAATGATTTATAGGTGTTAAAAAAACTAAGTTTGGAATTAGATTTAATAAAATAAATTGTAATTAATTGTGTATTGTGAAGTTACACATTATTAGTAACATGAAAATTATAACGTTTATGATTTATGACTTATTTCACAAACATAGGTGAAACACTATTGTTTGATTTTTTAAATTGTGACGTCTCTCATACATACATCACTACTGTCGTGTATTGTATTGATCCGTAAATGGTTTTCAATTTCCAGCGAAAAATTTAATCATTGCAGTCGTTGCAGTAATTTATTTTGAGGGAGTAGCGGCGGTGTTTAATGTCATCCATATCAACGTGAATAAGTAGTATCAAGAGAGCAGAGGGAAAAATTAAACAAAGATGTCTTCAATCGTGAGTATTGTTGTTAATATTGTTGATTCTGTAGCTCATGTACTACATGTAATCCTGAATTACAGCATACATCTCCCATTTCATCTATAAATTATTGGTGAATAAAGTACTAAGCGATATTTGATATTAAAGTTTGCATGCTGTTTGCGCCATGATTTTACAAATATCGACCAACTCGCCATCAACACTGAATGATGTCATATACAACTAAACCAAAGCCGCTGTAATTAGTAGAACTAAATCTATTTAGTTTTTGATTAGTTGTAAGTATAAATAATAGGTGTCATGCCTCCTTATGTATCCTATTCTCTATTGTAATTTATTTATTATTATACATTCATTTATTATTATAAATAATATCAAAATTTAGTCCTTGTATTTATTTTGTGTAATTTATGTATATATTTCAAATTATAATATTTCTTATGTATATTAATTCCTTCCAAACTTAGCTCTCATGATCATGTTTCGTTTCCTTTTTGGTCTTCTTCCCATCCGTTTTCTAACCTTTTATTTTGACATATGTACAAAGAATTCTAGTGCCATTATTTAAAAAAAAAATGGGTTTAATAGTAAGAAAATAAAAAGACTTGGAAGTCAGTAAAGTACCATAACTTTTAAAAATTAAGTTGTATTTAGACTACTGAAGACTTAAAAGTAGCAATTAAATAGTATACAAGAGACGGATTAATCTTTGTGGTTATTTAAGTACTAGCTACTTAATACTTCATTATTTTCCTTTAAATTGACGTACCTAGCTACCAGAACTAAGTATATTATAAATGAAAATACTACATAATTACCTTTCTAGTGTAACTTGCGTGGTAGTTTCGTAATAGTTTTATTTCATACTTCCTATGCAAATTATTTTCTTGTGTATATTGTGCCATTTTCCACACTTACACTCTTTTAAGGACCTTTTTTATGTGAAGGTTTTGAAATAGTGACACTATCATTGGTCCTTCCAAAATCCCGAAATGTTCAGAAATTTGTTTTAAAACCTAAATATTTTCCAATTGCATTGTAACAGCGCATGAAGGCAGTAAAATGCCCGTCAGACGAGCTGGCGGTCACAAACTGTGCCCTGGTTAATCCTGATGATTTCCCCAGCGACACCAAGTAAGTGCATTTTTTACAATTAAAGTATGAATTACAATTTAAATATAATATACAATGGCTATGGCTGAGTGAGAAAAACTTTACAGATTTCTCACAGATGGCACTGCACGGTGGTTCAGTAGTAGGTCATACGCCCAAAATCCCGAGGTATGAATTATGCTATGATACGTAGCCTAATTACTCACAACTAGTCGTACTACTAAAGGGTATAAAAAGAATTTCAATCAGGTAGATGTCACATTTACTTTTGTGCATCGGAAGTGAACGCATTGAATAGTCATCGTTTTAGTGTAATTACCACGTGCAAATTACCCGAACCGCCTGACGCCGTTTTTTCCGAGAATCATTTGTTAGTGACCAATTTTTTTGCTATGGAGATTCAAGTTGAAGGTATGTATTACGTATTTTGTATATTATTTTTATTTTTAAATTGAAAATTAATATTAAAAATTTGATGCTACGCCAGAGAAATTTTCAACTTCTTTTTTCTCTATTGTTCATGTTCAATGAAACTTTTAACTACTTTCCCCCCAAAATCCCCGCATGACTTATATATCAAAATGTTTGTTAATGTCTCTATTTTGAAATTAAACTGAATTTGGCTGCTTTCTTGAACAGTACAGAGGGTCTACGCCGTACGTTCAAACACGTAGCAATTGTTATGAAATTTCTATTATGCTTTAATTTTCTCAAATTCCTTTTTTTTTGTTTTAGGTGCGAATATTAAGTGTTCTTTCACTAGAACGCTTGTATTTGATACGTGGATATCTATTAAAGATAGTGATTCTGACGCAGACCGATCTAATCGAGTTCTTTATTCTCTGACACAACTACTGCCCGATGTTGAAAATTTCCGGATAGATGAGTTGGAAAACAGGATTTCGTATCTCTGTAAAAAAATTTGCACATATTGGAAGCAAGTCAGGCGATCACATTCCCGTATGGTTGCTAAATACGGTGACTGGCTGCACATAAACGAAGTTTGCCGCCTAACTTCTGCAGCTTCTCACCCTAATATCCAGCAACCGGCGGCTGCGGTTAGT